TTAAAACATTACTAACAAAAGTAAAATTAAAAGTAAAAACTAATGTACCCTCTTGATTTAATATAATTGGAATTGTACCATTATCATAAATATATTTCTATATTTATAAGAAAATATCAATATGTTTAGTGAAAAAGTTATTATAATCCCCTTTTTTTCTTCTAAATAACGTTTTTTGTTAACTACGGAATGAATTTTATTAAATCTTGCTACAAGATTTGTAACACTAAATAATATTTTTAAAAATATATGAAAAGAAATCTAGTTCAATACTGTATCTTTAATGATTTACGAATTATTGGATTCTGCGTGGAAATTAGCTATCTATATATTTATGCCTCATTATGGTAGACTTATTTTTAAATTGATAAATGTAAAAATCCGAGAACGTCTCGAAGTTGAAAGAAAAAGAGAGGAACGAGATAATGAGAAGATTTATGAGGTCATCCTAATATCAGTGGGACGATCGATTTATGTCCCTTTATTCAAATATCTAAGAAGCAGTGTTTTAGTAAACTTTATATAACTGTTCTCGTAGCTTCAATGGTTGTTTGTTTTTAATCTAAAACAAACAAGATACCAAGACTTGGATGTTTTTAAAGGTTTCGTGACACTTAGACAAGGCTCAATGGGAAGAAATGTCTTCTGTCCAGAAGGGAAAGTCAGGGGCCCATTATCTATAAATCATCGTAGAGAATCTTTTGAATCCAAAAAGAATATGAATTCTTCCCCGACATTCCTGTATTAGAAACAAGTCATTTTATCGGAGCGACTAATGTAAGCCATTTTGTAATTCATAACACAAAGTATTTATTGAGTAATTAATTTTTTTGAAATACATAGCTATGTTTTCTTTAAACAGTAAAGATGGCGTAGATATTCTAATTAGATATTACCTATTTTGATTAAGAGGAAGGTTTTCCGTTCCAAAAACCTAGTACGAGAATTCCCTCTTGGACATTTCTTACGTGAACCCATCCCAAACCTAGGCCTCTTCTGTTGTGTTGATAACAACGAATAAAAATAGTTTTAACCATTTCTGATTTCTATTGTATGATCGTTTTTTTAATGAAAGCGATAAGTTCGAAGAAGTAAAATAAACATAAAAATTGTTTCTCGGATCACAGTTAAATAATAATGTTATAAAAAAAAGAAGCAAAAATGTTGGTTTATAGTATATTGGTTTGAAAGTTTTATATTATATTGTGTTAAAGTATTTCTATGAATCCAACGATAAAATAGATGACTAACTTAAAGAAGGTAAAATTATAGAAAGTATAACTGTTAGGAGAAAAAATCTACACCATATTTAATACGGTAGTAGAGTTATATTTTCCGGCTCTCAGAGGAGCGATGGAATTTGGTGAGAGAGATACCAGACGAAAGGGAATTTCAAGTAGTCCAGTCTACTAATACTCGAAAAAGTGTGTATAAGGAATTTTTGGAAGGACACAATTTTTGACTTTGGGAAATTGTTAGAACTAGTAAGGAGCACGGGCGGATCTAAGGGGGGATGAAAGGGGGACTTTCGGGCTGAAGCCCCTAATCTCCCCTCCTCCAAAAATGGTAAAATATAACCATGTTATATGGAAAAAAAAATCTTTAAAAGTATTATTGTTCGTCTTATTACAGTTAATAGGACTTCAACAATCACTTAAAGACCATTTCATATCGGTAGTTAGTTTCTTTCTTTCATCCGAAGTCATTATCCTAATATATTTATACAAAAAAAATATTTCGGGTTGAATCCCCCCCCCAAAAAAAAAAATAAATAAATCCTGGATCCGTTAGTGGTAAGGAGGTAAACATACTAAAAGTCCACACTCCTAGGTGGTGAGCCAGATGTTGGGGGAAGGCGCACATAGAAGTTCACTTTTTTCGGATTTTCGCTTATATCAGATAAACTATCCGTCGGATAGACAAAGATATTTTATGCAAAATTGAAGCTGATGAAATTTGCAATATGGTTGATCATATACCTTTTTTGGCTACCTAGCTTAGTTTTCGAGATATCCGTCCTCAACTACGGTTAAATTTGAAGAACTAAAAACGTTGCCTCAAAGTTTATTTTGCTGTATTTCGTGTTTTCGCTTGTATCAGGAAAAAATCCATCGCATCAACAAAGATGTTCTATATAAATATAAAATGTATTACGTTAATTTGATAACATTAAAGATTTTTCTTTTTAAATAAAGCAATTCTGATTAACAAATAAATTTCGCATTGTATAATTTTCTACAAAGTTAAGATTGAAATAATTTCAGGATCATCGCAATTTATTAATTTTCCACTCTGAGTACTGAGCAGTGTAATAATTATGAACTTCTATCATAATTTTTAATTTTTTGTACTTATAACTTTGTTTTAGAACGAATAAGTAAAAGTTTAACACATATTTTTTATGACACTTATATATGTATTAAAAAAGTAAATTATTTTTTAAGCTAGAACTATTATTTAACAATTTTGAAAAAAACGTTTTACCTTTAACCTCTTATTAATGAAAGTTTTTATCTAATAAAAGTTGAAGTAATTTAAAAAAAAAAAAAACTGTTTCAACCCTGACTATTAGAAATTTTCCTATTAAAGGAATACGTTTTTATTATTGAAAATCAATATTACCCCCAAAACTACTGACATCTGTTTATTATAGATGCTGAATAATCATTAAAATGATAACTTTCGTTCAGCAGTTCACCTTTTTTATATTAACATTATCCTCCTGATAATGGAGTTTCATATCATTATCCGTGACCTAACGTAATAACATAACATTTTATACAACGAATTACACAATTCATTCCCTTTTCCTTTTAATAATGTTACAATGCCATCATAGGACAAAACGATTTCATTGAATCGATGTCACGCGGTTAACCGCGAAGATTCATGGAAATGGGTCACTTATTAGTTGTTTTACTATTATACTATTAATAGACTTCTTATAAGCACGCCTAGATGAGTTTTAATGTTGATAGATTATAAAGAAAGTTAAGTTAAGAAACTCATAATTTAGAAGAAAATATGTTTTATCATTCGATAACAAAGATTGTCATAATTTTCTTTTGTTTAATTCGTTCTTATAACATAACTCGACCATCTTTCGTGATCGAAATGCTATTTAAGGAATTTTAAATATAACTTTCATCGAAAAAAGGTCACATAATTTACAAATGCCGTCTATTTTATACCAGCTGTAAACAATCCAAAAAATATAATTACAGTCTAAAATAATCATAACAGCAAATAAACCTAATAGGATATCTATAAATATATATTTTTCTTATACAGTTTATAAATATCAAATGAAATTTAAACTTTACTTTTTTTTTTTTTTTTTTTTTTTTTTTTTTTTTTTTTTTTTTTTTTTTTTTTTTTACCCTCCAAAAAGTTTATTGAAACAATTAAACTTTACTAACGGCATTAATGAAATATGAAGCAATACAACAATTAACTATTTATGAGTAGATGGAAAATTTAAAATTAGTAATCAGATTATAATTTTAATTTTGAAGTGTTGTCATGGACCGATTACCTCCGAAGATGGAAGATAGTAAATTTCGTTCAGGCTGAGGATCCTAGGTGTAAATTAAGTCATCAAGGAAGAATGGATGATGACCACCTATATACATGAAATGTTCTGTCCTGCATTGACGGACATAAGAGAAAATACATTTTTAAATCAATATATAAGAAAATCTACTTTATATTGGGCAGATGTCGGACGGCCGAATGACCAACAACCTTGGCATAAGAAAAAAAAAATTTTTATTCACATTCATATTAAATTTATATACCATTTAAGGTTGTTCGAACCGGTGTTATTAAAGTTCATAAGTTAAAATGCAACAGTCTCAATATACAAATACAGTAAATAATTACATAATAAACTGTTTGTTAAGAGATAATTTATAATTAAAATTCTTCAGCGACATCCATTTAAATATAAATGTAAGATTCAGAATTAGGCTGGAGCCAAAAATGTCATAGTTGTTTTATTTTGAATAGGATAAAAAGAAAACAGTTAGTTAACCATTCTATCCTTGTGTGTTAAACACGATTCACAGGTTAACCAGGATTGGTTTGTTAGGAAAATATATTATTTACAAATTAAATACATGACATGTTTAAAAATAGTGTTTGTTGTGATTTTTGTCTGTATTAATTTCCATTTCACTAGTCTTTCAATATTATTTATATATATTTTTTTTTATAATATGTTAAATTATATTATATATTGAGAAAATAAATATTAGTATTCAGTATCTCGAGCTACCTGTGTTTTAGCTCTTCCCATATTTGCATAATGAGATAACATCTAATTTTGTCGTGTTAAAAGGAATTTAATCTTATTTTTATAATACAGGAATTTTATTTTGTTTACAAGTTCATGTCTAATTGAACAATATAAATTTATTTGTATTACCTTATTATTATTTTTGCGTCAATAAGAGTAATATATCGTTTTTTTTTTCGATGAACTATTGAATTTTATTTTATTTTAATAGTACGGGTGCATCGCTTGGATTAGGCACATCTAATCTTTTGCCTACGATATTTTTTTTGTATTACCCTAATTTTATTCGATTATTTTAAATAAGATTTATCTTTGTTAAACATCAACGGTTACCATGGAAACTTTAAACAGAATTATTTATATTTTATTAGTTTCTTTGCAAAGTTCTAATTAAAAGTATATATTCTCTAAACTAATTTGTCATTCTCAAGTTGCGGCTAATTACTGATAAGATTTCTCGAGTATTCTTGAACGAGTAGTGTTTGAAGCTTCTGAAGTACTTCATTCAGTTAAATACAAACATTCATAAAGATGATTATAGTGACAAATGTACACAAGTACTAACAGTCTTTTGACTAGAAATGTCAATTAGAAAAGGATTACTGTATTCTGTTTTTTCATATTTTAACGTTAAGGACAGTGGAATATAATTTTTATCCTGATTATATGCTTACATGTAATGTAACATTATACATTAACTCACCCCTACTAATGATGTGCCCTAATATACAGACAGCTGTGGTGGTAGTCAACAGACACGAAAGGCCATAACCTGCTTGAGCGGAGCAGCGCACAGCACTGCCTTGGACGGCTACCAGCGCTAAATTAAAGTCTCCGCCGGCCACAGTTGGTGGATTTTTAATTTCACTACTGCCCTCTTCAAGGAGGCTGGTCCATCTTCTGTTAGGAGAACGCCAAGGATGGAAAAAGGGAAACTTAAAAGAATCGCCGAACTCTCGTAAACATTTAAGTATTTCAGCTGATTGAAAACCGATGGTGATGAAAAGCTAGATCTCATTTATTTTGATAATATACAAATAGTTTACACGTATAAAGTACGTGAATGAAGATCTTCATTTCGTCGCTGGTTTGGAACTAATTGCGTCTATGAACTTTAGTATTTTTCCAAATAAAATAAAGCATGGACCAATCTCTATCATCAAGATAAGATTTTTTTCCAAACGAACGTCGATTTGAAATAAAAAATCTTTTTTCTGTGGAAAATAAAATAATCCTTTTTACAACAGTTACAAACATTTATTAGAATTACCATCTGTTTAAAATAATAACAAATAATTTTCAAAGTAATAATGATAATAAACACATAAATGAATTACAAATAAAAAGTTAAAAAGTTGTTATTTATATAGTGTATTTCTGACAGTCCATCTTAATTCTTTCTAGCTCTGTTTTTTTTTTTTAATTTATTTTCCTATATAGTAAACATTTTAGAAAATAATCTAAAAAAATAAAATAAATACAATTGAGTTATCAGCTTTTGTTAGTAGACATATCATATTTCAAATACTTCCCACCTGAGATTAAAAAATGAACATCTTTTTCTTTATTTATTTTATTTTTTGGGACATAGAGGTTTAAATAATGAAAAAATGTTTATTTCTCCTGTTTCATAATAAAGGAAAAATTAATTATAGGATATATATTTATTAAAAATAGATTGTTTTTAAGTTATTAAATAAATGTAAATCATTGGGAAAAAAATCTGATAAATATTATTTAAATAAAGACATTTTATAGATAATATTAAATATATCAATATATTTCAGGATTATCTTGTATAATTATTGATAAGAATTGCATGATAAGTTAATGTTTAACAGAGTTGAATAATAAATATCTACTAAATATTATAAAGTGAATACAAATAATAATGGGAGTAGATTAGCTTTATTATTTTTGTTAATTTTTTAATTAAAACAAATTACTTATCAAAACTAGTATATGTTTTCAATTATGATTTATTTATTTCAATATCCTAGCAATGATTATTAAAAAAAGAATATTAGCTCATAAAATAAATGATGACGAAGTATTTCACAAAGGTGTTAGGCTTTAGGAAATTCTGCATTTACTGGATTTTACTATTGTGAGAAATAAATACATTTAAAAGTATTCTATTAAAAAAATATTCAATATCTCTATCTATAAAATTTTTGTTATTGGTTTTTCTCACTCCTGTTTAGTTAGTCGTATCTGTGAAAAGGCAGAGAGAGACACCTAGTCATAAAACTTGTTATATGGAATAATTCAACTATACCTTAAAATTAATACGATAAAATAAAATACATAGAGCAATAATCAATGATTAACAAAATGTTGGAGAAATAACTATTTCTACGTCATAATAATAATTATTATTATCTTTAATATATCATGAAAATAAATCCACCTAAGCAGGATTTAACACTAATCTTTATCAAACTCAGTAATAATTCTTTTGACGTTGTTCTTAGCCAAAGTTAGGACAGTTTTCCTGGCTGAGGGCATGATGTATTATTTTAATTGGAAATTTTATTTTATTTCATTTTTAATTTTTATATTTACAGCAGCTAATGTAACTTCAATAAAATTTAACTACTCTGCTGAGTCAATCATTGAAAAGGTTAATTCCGTTGATGCAAAATGGAAAGTAAGTAAAACATGTATATTATAGCTTCTCCATTCATCTATTTTAAAATGCTAGTATGTGTCAATTGTAAGGTTATTGGTGTATCCAAACAAATAAAATGTTGGTATTTCTTAAAAAAAATTTTTTATCATCATTTGATACTTTTAATGTTCAAGGCACATTTAATAATAATAATAATAATTATTATTCATTAGAGAAATTACCATAAAATAAACCATAATAGTTTGGAATAAGACAGGATATAAAACTTAAAAAGAAGGAAAGGAGGAAGCTGGAGCCTTGAATATAAACAATCCCTCTCTGAAAAAACAAAATTCATCTCTTGTAAATTCTAACAACAGTGAAATAGTCTTATTCCTGAAATATTAATTTTACTTGGCTCCAAATACTTCTCTTAAAAAAATGACAAGTCTGTAAAATTCTGATGTTTATATGCCATTGAACAATTGAAACAACTAAATTTCATAAAAAAAAAATCTTTATGTTATTTTTCATCTTCAACATTTCTGCCTTGAGTGTTCTATTAAATGTATTTTGAATGTTGTCAATGAAAAAGCAAATTAATATGTTTGAAAATGGCTAATAGGCTGAAATATTACAAAAATAATTAATATTTTAAATTGAAAATAAAAAGGATTTCTTGTGTGGGCACTAATTTATTTAAAACCTCAATTTAAATTTGATTATTATTAAAAATTAAATAATGATTCTTCTTGTGTTTTGGCAAACCTTTTGTTTAATATTCTTTCAAATTTTCTAGGGAGGCAATGGCCCTCCTCTGCCCTCTTCTGTGTATGCCCTTGGATACCACTAGAAATGAACACTAATGAAGTGTAGAGAAACATAATAAATTATTAGCGCAACCATTATTACTAAGATACCTATTTTATTTACAATGAAACCTATGTCTATGAATAATTTTATAATTAAATATTTTTGCAATTACAGGCTGGTCATAACTTTGACCCAAACACACCACTGTCACATTTTAAAAGGCTTATGGGAGTCAAAAAAAGCTCTGAAACTCTGCCATTAAGAGAAGACCACATAATTGATTTTGAAATTCCAGAAGAATTTGACTCAAGAGAACAATGGCCTCATTGTCCAACGATTGGACAAATTAAGGATCAAGGCAACTGCGGTTCTTGCTGGGTATTTGTACATATAAATATATATGTTAATAGGAACTTTTCATATGAATAATTTGGATCAACTAAAAATACACAATAAGATTTTGATCTGATCTATAGTTCTCAATGGAATGGGATTGAAAATGCACAACACTTTGATCTAATCTATAGTTCTCGATGGAATGTGATGGAAAGGATGCATTCTTGAGTAACACTTTTTGAGAGTCATAATTTCTTTATATCTGTAACAGGCTAGTTGTTTTTATTAATGATGGTGATTCTGTATCTTAGTGAACAACCCTTGCTATTAAATTATATTTAAATTTCTAGATCTTAGTTATTTCAATCCATTTAGTTAGAAAAAAAAAAAAGTAAAGAAAGGAAGGATGGAAAGGTCTTTGTTGGAAAAGAGATTCATAGAAATCCATTAAAACAAAACATGACCATTTGTTTAAGATAATTTTAAAAATTCACACACACACACTCAATCTTCCCACCAATAATAATTTCCTGTCTATTTTTTTTTTTTTTTAAATATATCTTGTATCTTGTTGAAAAGATGAGTGCAATTTTCCCACAGAATAGTGGACTTACTTTGTTTGATTGTAAGAGTATAGTTTTAAAAGTAGTCCATTCTTCTCAATCATTTTATGACTGGTACTTCTGCTATCTTAAAATACAATTCCATGAATAATTTAGTGCATCATTTTGTTTTTAAGTATTTTACTATTCAATAAATTATATAATAATTAAAATATGTATCACGATTGATTATAGCTCTAAAAAAAAGTCAAATGTAAAAGTTGTCCTTTTTCTATTATTCTTGAATTGCTTTATCATTAATGGCTGAAATAGACCAAAATATATTATGAATTAAAATGAAGATAAGTTCATGTCCATTTAACTAATGTTTGTGCTTCGAAAATCCGATACCTCCTCCTACTTCAGTTCCTTCATCTATTTGATTTCCAGTCAGATAAATTTATAGATTAAAAAATGAATGTTTATTTTGTTTTTTACCATTGTATTTTGTATTAATACTTTTTTTTGCCCTATGATTCTTATTGTTACAATTAAGTTACGACATAATTCGACCACTATTTTATCTGCCTGTTATTCTTAGCAGTAATAAGCCCCCATATAAAGATTATTTTCTTTCAGGCTGTATCAGCAGCAGCAGTGCTTTCTGACAGATATTGCATTGCAACAAATGGTACCTTCACAATGCCTCTGTCTGAAGAAGAATTGCTTTCTTGCTGCAGTTTATGTGGATATGGATGTGAAGGAGGCTACCCTATGGTAGCATGGAAATATATACATCTTTATGGTATAGTAACTGGAGGTGAATACAATTCTAGCATTGTGAGTAAATATTTTAACTTTTTTTAAATTTTATTGTGAGCAAGAAATGTTTTCAGATGACAAGTGTCATTCTTCAATATGTTTAACTTGGATAAACTAGCAAATCTCAAATCTGCAAATACCAACTGTTTAAATACTATTTGTTTTATGTATATTTTATAAGAATTGTGGGTGGTAAAGTGGGTTAAGGTGGATTTAAAAACTCAATAATTAAAAAAGTGCTGTAAATACAGTAAGTAAATCTGCTCCATCCCTGCATGTGAAGATTGTAGCGTACTGGAGACAACTCACACAGACTGGCCACAACAATGAGAATACCGATTAAGGTACCCTTAATCAGGAATTACAATATGGTTTTTATAAGTCAGTAAATACCAGATGAATGGTCCATGAACAGTATGCTTCAGAGAAAGATTCTCCGGTAGCCAAAGGTCTCATCCTCCTGCTGACTCTAAGTGGCCATAATCCATGGATCTAGATAAAGATATAGAGCTCTGAAATTGGAGTTCCATGATTTAAGTAGATGAATGAAGTTACGAGGTTTTCATTGCTTACTATTGATATATATCATAATCATATAATTGATGTTTTTGAGGATTTTCTCCATCAGTTACTATAATTTCAATTTGTTTTTTAAGTGGCAAATTTTGAGATTCTAACTGAGTTAATGATTGCGGAAAGTTTGACATATGCGATTTTATGAATGTCAAATTGATATTATTGAAGCTGAATTCATGATAGTCAATGGTTCACTTCAAAGCCGGAAGGGATACTGAAAGACTGAAGAAACAGTGAGAATTCAAGTCAAACTGAAGGGTTCAGTACTATTTAGGAAAAGTACTGTTACAAGGCCAACGGTTGTGCAGAGAGGGGATCGGGCCAAGATCACGCTCAACCACCAGCTTTTTCTTCTTAATCAATTATTTAATTAACCCACTTTGTAGAGACTTGGTGTGCCCCCATAGGGTCTCCCTACCCCATGGTTGTCCCACAGCCTATGAAATAGAATAAAGAACTTCGTTGTTTAGTAATGTTAAATATGAATCATTGCCAGTCAGAATTATTTACCATCCTCATATTTTTCTTTCTTAAATTTAAAATTTAATATGGACCAGATAGTAAAGTAAAAAAATTAAATATTTATACACACATATATAATTGTATTTATAAATTATTTAATCTAGCACAAAATTTGCAATTTAATGCAACAAAAATAAAAATCATGCAATTTAAGCCAAAAACAAGAGCAATTCTAAATATCCTAAAACAGATAGATAATTGGGTTCGAGGTTTTTACACGCAAGGGAATAAAATGTGCAATAACATTGATATCCGGTCTTTATTTATAACCATTATAGATTAATCAAACATTAGGGCTCATATTTAGGAACTTCTTACATTTATTCCCTATTTCCACTTATACTTATGTTACAATAAACTTGAGCTAATTTCCTTCCGATTGGTGAATTTTTAAATATTGTTACAAATTAATTTGTAGGGTTGTCAGCCATATGACATAAAAGCTTGCGATCATCATGTGGATGGAGGTCTTCCTTCATGCAAATCTCTTCCACCAGTGGAAACTCCAAGGTGTAAAGAAAGGTGTACAAACCCATCATATAATAATACTTTTAACAATGATCATCGCAAAGGTATGGATAATGAGAAATGATAGTTTTTAATGTCATGAATAGTTACTGCATTAACCAATAAATTATAAGTAATCAAAGTTCAGAAGTTAAATTGATTTTAATTAAAAATGTGGATTCCACAGATTGCTAAGGCTTACTTCACTTACTTATCCAACTTATATTTAAATGATATTGTACCATGTACATTGTGTTAGAAAAGAAGAGTTTATGAGAGATTGTGCATTCCTCAGCAAAAGTTTTAGTTGGACAAAATTGCAGCCGTTTCCAAATTTTTCTTAGAATTTTAATAGTCTACTAAATACTAGTTCAGTGTATACAAAAAAAATCTTGAAAAAAATTATTCAATTTATATTCCATAGTATGTGATTAGGATAAGTAATGAGGCACATAGACTCCAAACCTTATTTCACTCACTTTGATTTCATAACATTCATGAGTAGCAACCAGAGTATATGCACAATTTTTTCTCTTTTCTCAATTCTCATCATATAATTGCCTTCATTGTCATATTAAATCGCCTGACTGGAAAAAATGAACATGCAAGAATTAAATGGACCAGTTTTTTCATCTCTAATTTATTTACAGTGAGGAATGTTTCATGTATTGATCGTATTAACACAGTACAACCTATTTTTTTCTATCCATCATTATATATACATTCAGGATCATACAAACCATTTACTTAATGCAATTCATTAGTCAATTATTCAATGTGAAATGAATGAAAGTCTAATAAAGGTACAAAGTTTAAATGATGTTGGTACCCCTAAAGCCCGGTAAGTGTAAACTATATACAAAAAATCCACTTTTCTGTCAATTTTGGTCACATGTTCCTTACTCAACTGAGTAGCTGTGAAATAGGTTTCTAGCTACCTTTCTATTATTAGTCAGTGCTATGATTGTGACACTGAGGGGAAAAATACATAATTTGCCATAAAGAATTTTTTATTATTTTGAATTCAATACATTATACTAACTATAAAAATGGAATGTAGCGTTAATTAAGTGGACAATTAAAAAAAATTAACAGTATGTGTAGTGATCATGGAACAGAAGTGAGCCAGAAAGTTCCTAAACATTAATAATTATTAGAAGTAGTTAGGTTGCAACACTGATTACATGGGTATAGCTGATTAAGAGGGAGGGAGCAAAATGTTGAATCTGCACCATCTTCCAACATAGAAAATAATAAAAATAAAACAGTATTAAATATAGACAATAAATTGAATAGAAAACCGATTGAAAGTTACAGGTTGATTGCTTTTTTTATTTGACTCCCTTTCCTCCCCTTATTGGCTTTATTGGATCATCCTCTTCTTGAATAGTTATAATTATCATACAACCAATATGCAGATTACTGAAGAATGAGTTAGCCAATAACTGGAATAATGATTGTAAGTAAGCCTATGAAGAGAAGTATTTTAAGAAGTTTTTGTTTGAATGAATGCTTAAATCTTGCATATTCTATTGAACTATCTGGTTCTAAACACGGGCTTAGAGCTTTGATGTTCCATTTGTATGTATTAACTTATTTCTGAGGGATGTGATTTAACTTATATTTATAGTACTGTGATCATGATGAGTTTCAAGAATGAGAAGTTAATTGAAGCGTTGATATGGCAAAGCTAGTAAGTTATGAAAAGCTAGTTTTACAGGAGAAGCAAAAAACCGTTTTGATATACCGCTGTTAACAGAAACTCAACCACTCTCCGTTTTAACTTACTCTTCCTTCTATATCATTGGCATGATTAATTACTACCTTTTATATGAAGAAAAATAATTTTATTTTTTACTAAGTGCCTTTCCTATTTGGACAATATCATTTTGTTATATTTTTAATATTTTGAAGTACATTAGTGAAGAATCAGCAGCTGTGATTATCTCCCAATCTATAAATGAGCATCTATCTTTCATTACATAAGCCACAAGTTTAAAGTAAAATATTCTATATCTAATTTTACTGACCCATCTGATTCTTCATTAATATGAAACATTCCCTGTCTCTCTTATGTCTTGTTATTTTTTATTGGATTAAAAACCTTTCAAAATAATTTAATTAGGAGTTGTAATTTTGTCAAATATAATGTTTATTAACTGTTGTTATTTAAAAAATTTATGTTCCTAATATTAAGTTGTGTTTATGAAAAAGTATTATTGATTCATATTTTATAACTGAAGATATAATGCTCTTAGTGCACAGAGTTTATGCAATAAAAAATGATGTTGCCCAGATTCAACAGGAGATTTTATTGCATGGTCCAGTTGAAGCAGCGATTCTTACTTACACTGATTTCACTGCTTACAAATCAGGTTTGTATTATATAAATAAACAGAAAAGTAGTTTATTTTAAATTTTCATCTTGGAATAAACTGGATGAATTTTATTATCATTTAGGGTGTGTTTAGATAAAAAATAGCTTTTCATGATTGCTTATAAAAAAAAAATATATATATACTTTAAAATAATTATTTAATTGGGATTCTAATAGTTGTTATTAGAAACATATGGAAGCATAATTGTTTTAGCTTTGAAGAGGATCCCATTATTTACTTATAAAAAACTGGAATCGAAACGTCGAACAACACAGAAGCAATGAGTATTTAGTAGTTTATTGAATAATTATTAAGTGATCTTATTCCCAATTAAATAATTATTTTAGAATATAATACTCAAAGATCGATTAAAGAAATTTTGTAAATATATATAAGTAAATTTTGAATTATTTCTTTATATTATTTTATAATTTATGTTAATTCTTGTACTATTACTGCTGATATGGATTCAGTACTTATATTTATTATTTGCGTCTAAGATAGACAATTGAAAAAAAAATTAATTTAGTTTAATTATTGAAAACATTGATAAACGTGTATCATATGAGGGGTTTCAAGTATATATGGTGGTATGTTTGAAATTAATGTTAAAATATTTATATATATATTTTTAAACTTTTCTTGTTCCCAAATTGACGATGACCAGTGTTTTTACTTTTAATAAGAAAATAAAATCAAATTATGAGAATAGAATTAGGATTAAGTGAGAGGATATTTAGTTCACCTAATATCTTAATGATCAATAACCATAATTGAGATATGTGTAAAAAGCAATAGTACATTATCAATTTAGTTGACAATGAAAGGTTTGTAATGTTTCTTTAAGGGTTGCGGAAAACATATTTCTTCCTCTTAGGGTAAATACTTTATTACTAATAAAATCTGGTTACATATTCAAAATTTCGGTGGTCTTCCCCATTTTCAGGGATATTCTTATTTTCTCAGTTCCTAAACATTTTTCATATAAAAATATTCCATAATCTGTTTAATCATCATGTTTTTAATTTTTTTTTACTAATGTTCTACTTAGGAACACCCTAACCTAATCATCCATAAATTGTTCCACTGACTGTCTGTTTTTGCAAACCATTAAGCAACTAGAATTATCCTTCCAGTATAGCATAATTTATCAGAATACGGTTTAATGATTGAAGGCATATATTGAGATATTTCATATCAAATACTATGTTTTACAAAACTATTCAGCTTATTCCTGGACAAACTCAACTCAATTAATATGGACTTAGAACTATTAAAGAAAGAATTTTTTTCAGCTGTGGTTCAGTTGGAGCTTGATAAAAAAAAATTGAAAAATCCATAATTTTATGAAAAAAAACAGAATATAGTGTAGTTTAGCTGCTTTAAAGCCTTTTTAAAATGGAATTTTACAAAGATAAATTCTGCTTCGGTTTAAGGATATTTTGTCTAGTTTACTATGAAAGAATTGGTAATTACTTAAATTATAGTTGTATTTTTTAATATTGCTTCCTATTCAACAAAAATGTGATTTACTTTTTAAAAAACACAGAACATCTTTCTTGCTTTTCTCCCTGGAATCGGACCATGGTGCAATATTTTTTGTAGTAGATCTTTTGCCGCCTTAACAAGCCTGCTCCATCCCTGCCTGTCTTGGGCTATTTTTTTCTAGTTAACAGCAACTTAAGCAACAAGTTAACTTCTATTGAGGCATTCATTGTTACATAGAGGCTTCCAGATAGATTATTACCCCCATGCATTGATATCAATGGATATTGATAGACCAGTTTCTGTAAGCAGTTCTTTATTGGTCTTTCTTCTCTATGCATTAGTACTGGTTATGAAATCTTTCAATATTTTTTTGTAGGGCGCTGGTTAGTGTCCAGGTCTCAAAGCCATATATTAGAACTGGTTTTATGATAGCATTATACACCCATAATATGAGATTTATTGTTATTTCAACATCCTTAAAAGGGAGAAGAAAGCTTTGTTTGCGCCAGTTATACGCTGGTCTATTTTTGACCGTTGGTCATTCATCGAGGTTATTGCGGAACAGAGGTATTTTCCTCTTGATTACTTCCAAGGACAGCTATATCATCTGCGCATCCAAGGATTTTATGATTCATTCCAAAGTAGATCCCTCCCCCTCTATTTTCCTGTGGTGTTATTCTTATCACCTTCTCCAGAGCTAAGTTGAACAACATTAGTGATTCCGGGTCGAACTTTGAAGGCTTCAGATACTTCTCCTAGCATTAGGACTCTACATTTGCCTTTGTCAATCTCACCAACTTACCGAGAACTCCCAGTTTAGTCATGATTTTCCAAAGACAGTTCCTGTCCACAGAATCATATGCTGATTTGAAATCGACAAATAGAACGTGGACGTCCTGAACTACTTCCCATCGTTTTTCGAGTACTTGTAGGAAACCGAAAGGAGTACTATGCCTCTGTAATTAATGCACTCGTGGAGCCTTTATTTAGGGTAGGACAGAGTAGGCCTGTATTCCAAGCCTCAGGTGTCTATCCCTTTTGCCATATTTTCTGGATTGGTTGTAGAAGCTTGGCTCTCAAGTCGTCTCTTCCATCTTTAAACAGTCCTGATGGTAGGTTGTCTATCCCCAGGGACTTTCTTGTTTTAAACCTTACGGTAGTTATTTCTTCACCCAGTATATCGGGTTTTTCAACATCTTCAGGATCAAGATCCTCAGTGTGGTCCATGTCTACTTCATTCGTGGGGTCCACTTGATTGAGAAGTTCCTGCAAATTTTCTTTCCAGATGCTCAACATCTTTTCTTTAGATGTTGTCAAAATACCATATTTTCCATATTGGTATTTCTCGCTTTATATCCTATCTTTCCTAAGTGTAGAATTCACGTATATCTACAGCCTGCCAGTTGTCCTCAATGGTTTGCAATCTTTCTTTGAGGTATTCTGTTTTTTCCGATCTTATAATTTTGTTTGCCTTTTCTCAGCAGCTATCTACTCATCCTGAGCAACTTGATCAGTTATAGCTAGGTAAAGGACTTTCATTTTTTTTCTTTTCACCAAGTGAATGTATACATATATTATTTTTTGAAGCAGAGAAATGATAACAGTTTCTTTTGATTTATTCATTCAATTAAGGTATTAACTTATTATTAAATACCCTATAGCAAACATTAAACACTACCATTTTATATTTAATTTATACCTCTTTCTTCCTTAATGCCATCTCCATGATCCTATTTTTAAAAAATCACTTAAAATAATAAGGAGGAATTTGTCTTTCATATTTTAAGGACTTCTATAAGTATTTTAGTTTAAACATTTATTCTTTTGTGATAGGTGTGTACCAACACGTGACTGGACACGGACTGGGTGCGCATGCTGTAAAGATCATCGGGTGGGGTGTTGAAGATGATACGCCTTATTGGTTGGTTGCTAATTCCTGGAATACTCATTGGGGAGACAAGGGATATTTTAAAATCTTGAGAGGCACAGACCATTGTCAGATCGAGTCAGAAGTTATGGCAGGACTACCTATAGTAGATTAAAGAAGTTGGTTTGCGAGACGGATTAACTTCAATGAAGCGAATACATTATTATTTATGAATATTTTTAAACAAAACATTGTTTATTCAATATACATAGTTTGTGCCTTCATAGTATTAATTTATGTAGTTTACATTACTTCAAGAAAAGTCATGTTTGTAAATATTTTAACCAGTGTTGCATAATATAACAGCATTTAAAAAGTAGTAACTTATTTTTAGCATCATGAAATTAATATAAATATCAATTTTTTTCAGAACTTTAACAAAAGTTCGTGAACCATTCCAGGATTAAGTTATTAAATAATTCCACTTCATCTCGTGTAAATCAGTAAATGTCAAATTTTTAACTATTAAGTTAGTATTCTGAGAAATACCTTTGTTTGACAAAAGAATTTTTTACTGGACTAAGTTGTGACAAGTTGACAATCTTCTATGGAAAGACTAAGTTTGTAGCCGTCTGTGATTTCAAAGTTAAATAGAGATGAAGCAGAAATTTTGAGCAAAAAATTTTTATTTTATGATTAGTATGAAAATTCGTATTAAGGGTTTTTCGAGGTGCGAAATACAAATTTCAACTTTGTTTCTCCGTAAAAAAATATTTGAAACTACTTTACTCCTTAGGTCAGTACTACTTGTTTCAATATTCAATATCACCTTGGCGTTACTCTCGATTAAACCCTCTCCTGGAAACCACACATCTTCTAAACTCCCCGCTATACTATTTCCATCTTGCAACAGTTTAACCATCCACATTATCTTCTTCCGTTCAAAACCCGTCAACTCCTGGTCTCATCTCTTGTTTTCTCCCACTTCGATTACTGTATGGTGTATGTGGACTCTCAGGAGAACTCGAAGCTAAACTTAAGCGTGTAATGAAGTAGTGCTCAATACGCTTTATATTCGGGATTTCAAGGGATACGCACAATACTCACTTTTTACACCTAGTTGAAGTGGCTTTATCTGTCCTACCGCTACCGCCGTCAGTATTTCCGTGCTACCTTTCTATACCAGGATATTAGAACTCGGTGACCCTCCTATATTTTATAGATTCTACAATTCGATTCCGTCCCACCAGATCCCGTACGTCCGACCTCTGTCCTCCTCCTCACCGAACTGTTGCGTTTGCCTTTTTAATCCAAGCTGTCTCCCTCTGAAACTCTATCCCTTCTGATATTCGACAAGCAATGTCAGTATCCTCTTTCAAATCTCTCCTTTTCGAACACCTATTCCATTCTCAATCCGGTTGATCACCAAATGCACTTGAAAATCTAAGTCGTAAGAATCTCAAAGTACCTCCAGATACTTTGATTATTTTGTGATTTATTGATATTTTGTTTATTTGTTTTACTTTTTATGTCTATTTTATATTTATGTTTGTTTTTATATCTTTTCATTATCTGTACTTTTATTTTATTATCAATCATCCTGTAAATATATAATTGTATTTTATGGACACACCAGAATGTTAATATACATTCTGCATTTATATTTTGTTCTAAAGGGACACTAGTCCCAAAATAATAAAATTATTTGCATTCATTCATTCATTCAATACTGAACACATACTATTCCATGTAAATGATAAATATCTGGTGACTTCCATCCAAAGTTGGTGTATCAGAGCTGCCAGGCTGGGGAAGTATTGAACTGGACATGATGTCTCAAATGTCTGCGAACTCTCTGCGAGAGTGATATATATATATATATATATATATATATATATATTATATATATATATATATATATATATATATATATATATATATATATATATATATATATGTAGAGAGAGAGAGAGAGAGAGAGAGAGAGAGAGGGGGGGGGGAGGAGAATTAATGAAATCAGTGATCAGACAGTGATAACGATGGTAAATTCTTGATTCCTCAATGCACAGTGACCAAAAGAAGTTTCGGGAGCTACTGAGAATGATCACCAAGAATAAAAGTTGAACAATAATTTATCACGGTATTAAACTCCTAGCAGAAAATGAGTTGTAAACGAAGTTCGCGGATCACTACGGTGTATAAATAGCTGATGCGAATTATAGGGGTATAACGAGTTAGTGTGAATAATAAAGTTTTACATTAGCTGGTACTGGTACTGGTGGGGGGACTTAGTCCAGCAAGTGGACCTGTTGGTCCTTTTTGCCAACCCCAAGAATGATACTACCAGTGGTTGTCTATTGTACCTCTACTCTGTCTCAAACCTTTTTGTTCTTCTAATGAAGTTCAAAAGGATGGGCCATTTTATGGAGACAGCTTTGCACACTTGGATTCTGTCTGCTCCCAGAAGTCTGTATCTGAGTGACGTAAATCGGTCACATTCCGTTATGAAGTGAAGGGTAGTTTCAGGTGCACTTCTGCAGAGATTACAGAGCTCATCATCCACTATCCCACAGATCTTTAAGTGTCTTTTAAGTCTACAGTGGCCTGTGTACTCCGATGATGAGTCGGCTATCTTTCCTAGTTAGGCCCAGCAGCCACATTGTTTTTGGAGGGAGAGGGGCTTTTAGCATTGTCGCTTCTGAGCCCCGTGCATTCCTTCCAATATATATACATACTTGAATATATACATTAGCTATATGTATGAGTACGATTCCTTGAAACAGCTAAGACCCGTTATTTCTCGTATAATTAGGAACAAAACTTCAAGTCATGAAGGAATATAGACAATACAGCCTGGAAGAAATTTACTAGAAGTAATACATTTAAAATTTCATGTTTACGAACCACTCATTAAAATTGTAACGGGCTACCAAAATTATGTAAACGATGTGGGTTTTTCAAGATATTAATACGACCTGTTTGTTCTAGATTGACCTGATTCTTTACATTCAAAGCGTCTTAATGTATATAGATGGAGGGCCTATTAAAGAAAATATATCGGCTACTCCAACAATGTCAAAATAACGTGATTAGGGAGTAATCATTACAGATAAAAACGAACTTACTCGAACCATAGTAAGGATTAGACGGGGCTTATCAGTTTTTTTTTTGACAAGTTTGAATACACGACGAATTCATTTTTCAGGACTCTGAAACAAACAAAGCGGCTATAAAGATGGTACACTCAAGCAAAAACGTTAATACTAGGCCGAGGACAACTAATTGTGGTGAAACAAGACAAGTGAGTTTTTATCATTAGAAAAACACTTCTAATCTCTAAATTCCCAAGTAGGACAAAGGATTTCGTCTAGCCCACAATCTATGTTTACATATCAATATGGCTTAGGAGAAGAAACAATGAAATAAAATCACGGGATAGATATTGCCATCGGAGAACTGGATAGAGCCACTTCAACTTGGCATACTTACTAATATAATATAGGTGAAGAGAAGGATTCAGATTTATGTACAAGTGCATCATAATATTTTGTAAAATTTTCTTAGAAACATTTAAACGAATAATCTTATCATGCACTTGGTGTAAGATAAGCATTCAATAATTTCTATCAAGGAGGAAATCATGAATTAATGATAAGAAAATACGTTTCGTTCGCAACGTTGTTTTAAAATAATAACTAAGCATCGTAAGTGTTTCGAAATTTTGAAACCATTGAACCATTATCGCAAGCTTCCCAAATATTTTCAAATGAAAAAAAATTGACCATTTAACATTAATCTCTAATATAAAAGATAGTTAAATATAAAATATGAAATAATTTGATAATTAGCTAAAGAAGAAATAAGAGATCGTAACGGAAAATAGTTGTAATTGAGGAACCAAAGGAATACGAGCGCACCCGAGCTCGCCCGAAAAATTAGAAAATCCTTCCGTACGTAACATGACCTTAATATTATAAGGAGTACGATAATATTATTGTAAATATACATATGCGGTTTTCATAAATGCTATTGTTGGCACTATTTAATATTTAATTGTTTATAGTACTGCGATATAAATATTAAAATTTGTAAATATTAGGGTACTTATACAAATAAAAATACCCACAATGAAATATAAATAAATATAGCGTCTATAATTGTTACTTTCGCTTCTCCTTTTTCTGAAAGCTTATGTTCACCCAGCGGACCATAGTCATTAAACATTTGAGGAAAAACATATAATTAAATAAAAAATAAATTAAATAAATAAAGAGTAAATCACGATTCAAAAATCCTCATTCATTAATATAAACAAAATTTCAATTTCAATTAAAAATCGAACATAAACTACTTAAAATTATTTATAAGTAATACAAAATAGACTCATTCAATAATATTTAATTTATATGAGAAGGAGTTAGTCGAGGGTGCGGTCAAATAAATAAAAAAATGAAAATATATTAATTATTTTAATTTTTGCCGACGTTTCGACCCACTTTGCAGATTGTCTTCAGGGCGTAGGATGTGGCACTGCGGGAGGCAGTTGAAACACTGGTAGTGTCAAAAAACTCATTTTTGAGAGTTTTTTGACACTGCCAGTGTTTCAACTGCCTCCCGCAGTGCCACAACCTACGCCCTGAAGACGACCTACAAAGTGGGTCGAAACGTCGGCAAAAATTAAAATAATTAATATATTTTCATTTTTTTATTTATTTGACCGCACCCTCGACTAACTCCTTCTCATATTATATCAACGGTCAACCATCTCTACATCTTATTTAATTTATGTGTGTTGTTATCACAATAAATTAATGTTATGATTAAGCAAGTAAAAAATAAATTTAAATTAGCAATTTCAATTCACTTTAAATCCATTTTTATTCAGAACTTCTCTGTAAACATTGTGGTCTTTTTGAATGTTCTTTTATTGTTTAGTTCACAGTCTTGCCCGTTGCCATAGAAAATATAAATTTCAACATTTTAAATGAAAGTCCTTTACTTGCTGCCACATATAATTGTGCATGCGAAATTACTGGACGTCGCAATAATACACACATACACATACATTAAAATTTAAAGTAAAATTGTTATTTCTTAGGAGCAAATTGAAAAAAAAATAATATGTAACAAAAAACCGACCTCATAACAAGGACAGTTGTGAGACTGCTTGGAATTGGCAGTGATAGGTTCAAATATAGTCTAAATTCACTTTTATTATACTATATAACAAAATAAATAAAAAATTGGAATTAATCGGTTATAACTAATAAGGCATAAACATTTATGTAAGAATCAACTTTCGGTCTTCCTCGAGCGTTCTCGGCATTTGCATCTAAAAGCAAAAAAAAAAAAAAAAAAATTACTTGTTACAAACATACCTAGGAAATATGTCACAACCGAACCCAACACACTCCTTCAAAAAAAAAAACAAAAAAAAAACAGTCGCAACAACAATATAAAATTATGTACGCACATATAATGTTAAACATATAACGAGGCAAAACGTCCATTACTCGATATGTACATATATAACAACAATTATTCAAAGAAATAGAATAAAAATAATTGATTTTGCCTTTTAAAAAGTAATGAAGTCCTCTACTAGGGGTAATGTCCCGCGATGTGTTAGCAATACTTTTTGACCGGCACAACATCCCTTTTTTCCATGTAAACCTATAAAAAAAAACTTAAAGGTACTTTAGGGTAAGCTAATTTTGAAAATTAGCCATTTAAGCCCTGTTAGAGAACTAATAAAATAAATAGTAAATTTAATAGAAATAGAATAAAAACTACATTTTATTTATTAATGTTTAATTTTACACTAATATGATAAATTTAATCAACATAGTTAGAGCCGTTTTCTAGAAAATCGTAAATATGTGTTTAGCCCATGTATAATGTGCCACTTCCGATTAGCCGATTTTGACGAAAAAGTTGCTGTGACACCCCTAGAGGAGAAAAAAAAAACCTTAAATATGCAATTTCACTTTCGTACAAGTTTTTGTTTTTGAGCTAGACACTGTTAACACACACACAGACCATTTTGCGGGACTTGTTTATTTGGACTCAGGGAACCACAAAACGTCTATCTCCGTTGATAACTGAGATTCGAATATTTTCCTGATCCCAATAATTTCTTTAACTGTATATTTCATATATAGGTAAGTGAAAGAAAAAAACAGTTTTCTTCTATTTAATTGATACAATAACAAAATTGAGTACGATTAAATGAGCATTGTCACAACCGTAACCAGCCTTCCCTAATACATGTTAAAAGGACACTGAGTTAAAGCTAGAATGTAAATAGAATAATGTAAGAATAATAGAACATTATGTTCAAATGTTTCGATAAAAATCTTGAACTTCCATAGTTCGAATGTAACTTTTGTTGTAAGAGCCCTCATTTATGGACAAAATCTTAGTATTTATAGACACTCAAGTGTGTGCAGTACTATAAAAAACACCTTTCTTCTATCTAATTGGTATACTAACAGAATTGAGCACAATTAATTAGTATTAATCGAATGCCATCATCATAATCATGTTTTCTCAGAATCTAAGCGTTATTAATAATGAAGTTATATTACATATATCGAAAGTTGCACACATCTGAGATAAATCACAAGTCGATTACTGGATAGATAAATTAATTGGGTCAATGAACCAAAATCAGCTATTACAAATTTTAAAGTTCTGTATGTTGAATGAGGATCAAAAATGATTGAATACCGAAAACGGAAAAGTTTAGAACCGTAGTTCAAGTGGCTACAAATATCAGCTCTGTTTATTAACAAAGATTGTGTAAGAATGTTGCTTTTAATTGTATTTTAATATGTATCTGTGTTATCTTATTTCAAGTGGATCTGGTGTGCTTTTAAAGGGACGTACTTCGGAGTATGTTGTCAGTCTTCTATTGCAGGTGAGTCGGAGAAACTATCATTATTATTATTATTATTTTTAATACGTAAAATTTCTTTCAAAGAGCATCAATTGATATTAGCAAATGGTGTGATTTAGGATGAAGATACTTCTCATATCATGTTTGCTGTTGGTTGCAGCAAGTGCTAGTTCAGTCGACCAAGACGAACTCAAAGCTATCATCGAGACGGTCAACTCGTCCGGAGCAAAATGGAAAGTAAGAGAAACAAGTAGAGTTATATATATATATCCAATAAGTTACCAAACAAAGCAGAGTTAGTAGGGATAATTTGACCATATCAAATTTGTTTAAAAAAAAAATAAAAAATAAATAATTATATATATATATATATATATATATATATATATATATATATATATATATATATATATATATACGGGGCGGATCCAGGATTTAATTTGGGATGGCTTCAGACCGAAAGATTTTTTTTCATATACATAACAATAATTAATTTGAAAACAAGAAAGAAGAAACTAACTACCTATATGAAATGGTGTTTAAGTGATTCTTGAAGTCATATTAAATGTAATTACACGAACAATAATACTTTAAGATATAGTTTTTAATATTTTTTTGTATAAAACATGGTTACATTTTACTGTTTTGGGGATGGCTTCAGCCCGAAAGCCTCTTCTCCCGTAGATTGGCCTGTGTATATATACACATATTGTTTCCGTTATAACACTTATTTACAGACATCACACACACACAAACTCATACATATATATATATATAGATATAATAATCTATCTAGAGTAGATTATATATTATACGTTTTGGTAAATAAATGTTATAATGGAAGCATTGCAATCTATCTAGGGTTGAATATAAAAAGCACTTTTTGAATCTATCTATCTTGCATTGAAATTTAAAGATTATTGGAATAAATAACATTAAGGTATTGTCTTCAAATTTAACATTTTAAGGATATCACTTTATAGTAGTGTAGATTTTTAAGATGATAAATCTTGAGATTTTTAAATTCATTTTTTAGAAATATTCTGAAGTGAACTTGGTGTGATATTTGTATTCCTACAAATTTAGGCTACAGAAATATAGCCCCAATAATTTTTTTTATCTATATAATTTTATTCGATTAGGCTGGCCATAGTTTTGGAGAGAATGCAACGCTCTCCTCCTTGAAGAATTTGCTGGGAGTGAAGAAAAACTCACTTCTAAAGCTGCCATTGAGGGAAAAACACACCATTCCAGATTCCGAAATCCCGGAGAGCTTCGATGCAAGGGAGCATTGGCCTCAATGCCCATCCATTCGACACATCCGGGACCAGGGAACATGCGGCTCTTGTTGGGTAGGGACAAATTTCATTTCATAGTCATCTATATAATATTATACGTTATCATAAAATAATTAAATTTATATTTTTACAAAAAAAGTCTTGAAAATTGATAATAAATGATAAATCGAACTTCGGACCAATGATTCCTAGAGATGAGTTGTGCTGTTTATTGTTCGCAGGCAGTTGCCGCCGCAGGAGCTTTCACTGACAGGGTCTGCATTGCTACGAACGGCAAGTTCACGTCACCACTGTCTTCAGAGGAGCTGCTGGCCTGCTGTGCATTTTGTGGTAATGGATGTAAAGGCGGATCTCCCTACGAAGCATGGAGGTATTTCGCTATCAACGGATTAGTTACTGGCGGAGATTACGATTCCAACGAGGTAGGAGATATCCTAGTTCCAAACTTTGGCCTTAAACACAATTTAATTATCAGTTATAATAATTTTTTTCTCCTACTTTTTTTTTGAAAATCACTCAAGAACTGTAAATTTTCCAGGGTTGCCAACCATACGACATCCCAGCCTGCTCGCACCACAGCAAAGGCCCACTGCCATCCTGCGACTCCTTGCCGTTCTCAGACACCCCCGCATGCCAGAGGAAATGTACCAATCCGTCATATACCGAATCCTTCTCGTCGGATCATCATAAAAGTATGAAATATATATATATATATATATATATATATATATATATATATATATATATATATATATATATATATATATATATATATATAAAGTATTTGAGTCATTAATTTAGAAATATTAATAATGTTTTGATTTACAGTCCAACGGCCTTACGTCATAAGAGACGACGTTAAAGAGATACAGAAAGAGATTATGACCCACGGTCCCGTCGAGGCTGATTACACAGTTTACTCAGACTTCATGGCATATAAATCCGGTAAGGTTTATATATGCATATATATATTTATGTTTAAAATTTTAATAAAAGACTGTGAGGTTAGAAAGGGCTTTCATAAAAAAATAACCATAAAAAGATTAAATATAATAACTATTAAAATATCTCAAAAAATATGAATAACCTAAAGAAGGTTGTTTATCTTAATATATATATGTGTGTATATATATATATTCTTTAGATTATTCATATTTTTTTTTTTAGGTATTTTAATAGTTATTATATTACATCTTCTTATGATTACTTTTTTATGAAAACCCTTTTTAACCTCTAAGTATTTTAAAACATTTTTACAATATTTAAAAATTATTATTTTCTAACGTTACGGCTCAGAGATCAATTTAAAAAAAAAAAATTCTTAAAACATATCTATAGTACTTGCTTTGTTATATATAAAATGCTTTGTTTTAATTCTTTTTTCTTCCAAAAAAACACAAAATTGGTCTTTTTTTTTAAATTTTATCAAAAACTTGATCCTGTAATTTAACACTAATTATTAATGTAATAATTAAAAAAAAAAATTTTTTAAAATCAAAAACACTATTTCATTTTATAAATCTTTTTGGGGGGAAAAAATATTCAAATCAACAAATATAAAACTCTTTTTGTTATTAGGTATCTACTCGTATGTAACCGGAAAAGTTATGGGTGGACATGCAGTGAAGATCATCGGCTGGGGCGTTGAAGATGGTACACCCTATTGGCTGGTTGCTAACCAATGGAACGAGAACTGGGGAGAAAATGGACTTTTCAGGATATTGAGAGGAACCAACGAATGCGAATTCGAGTCTGATATTGTTGCTGGTCTTCCCGTAGTGTGAATTCAAATGCTACATTAGCATTTAGATACGTTTTATACCATATATTTATATATTATAAATAAATATTTTTATTTTTTATATAAAATCGAATGTCTTATTTTATTGAACTACCTTACCATAAATTATGGCTTTCAATTGACAGTATGACTAACCCCGAATTCAAAATGTTTGAGTAAAGTCGTTTTAGTGATATTTCTAGCTGGACAATTTATAATATCTGTACAGATAGTGAGTAAGTTGATTCCAGAGTTAGGTGATTACAGTGTTGACATATAGAACTGTTAATAAAAGTATAAATACTCTCACTAGAAATATCACTAAAATAAATATTAATAAATGTTTAAATTTAAGGTAATCATTCTGTCAACTGAAAGGTCCAATAAAAAAATTGAAAGATAAGTATATTGAAAACCCATATATTTGTTTGATTGGTTTTTTTAAATTGAAACATAATATTGAAATTTTTTTTGTTTGATAATAACAGGAAAAAATAATATAAAATATTATAAAAAATGTATATAATAAATATTATATTAAACGAGCAACCCAGGACATCGAAAATACCGGACACATCTATTTAAATAATTTAATTATTTTTTTAAAGAATCAATTTCTTACTAACAAAAGTATACTAGTCCCCGATACAGTCCTCAGTTTATCAAATTATTAACATTCCTCTGAAACTTCATCTTATAATAAACTATAACTTTTTTTATCATTGAAAATTCCCAGAAATTGGTGTTTTCAATTTAATTAATTTAACGAGGCTCTAAAATCTTATGAATATCAATTTTCTTTCAACTTGAATTGTAAGATAATTTGATCGCAAAACGGCTAAAAAAGGTGGCCTACAAAAATATTGGACCATTTGTCCTATATAGTCTTGTTATTTTGACTTATTGAGGGGAGGGAAGGGCACACCAAACATCCCAATATTTTTGTAGGCCACCTTTTTTTTTTTTCGATTTTGTGTTCAAATTAACTTACAATTCATGCGAAAAGCAAATAGGTGTTCATGAATTATTACTGTCTCATTTCTTACAATTTCCATTAATAAAAAAAGTTATAGTTTACGATGAAGGGACTCAGAGTTTCAGACGAATTCATGAAATCGAAACATTAATTTTCAGTGAAAAGAATCCCTATTTATTCCATGATTATTTAATCATAATTATTAGATTTGATTCGGTAAACATTATTTAACAGGATTTTGTAATTTTCATGGATTTTTGAGCTTTAGGGATACTAAAACATTGATCGAGGAATCAGTAATTAGTTTTTCGAGTTTGATTTTCTTTCACCCGAACACGTGTGGTAATCATTCATGTCTATCTGAGGATTTTTTTATGGGACAATTACTTCATTCATCTTTATTTTATTACTGTTACAAACATCTTTTAAAAGATAGTTCCGTAATATTTTATTCTTAAGTGACAATATTTCATTTTTTATTGCGTTTCTATCGCAAGTACTCTATAAAAGCTTACGTTGAAGATAACTAAAGATTTTGGTTTCATTTTTTATGTTTATTTTTTTTATTTGAAACTTAAAATTTGTCAATTCTACCATTTTCCTCGAGATATTGCATTCAACAATTTTAATAATAAATTTGTGGTTGTCCTAGATAACTGGACGATTAACATCGGACAACGATTAGAGTTCACTTAACAATGTAAAAAGAAAAAAAATATAATAGATCTTATACCTAATCCAAATACAATTAAACAATGTCAAACACATTTTATTTTCATTATCTCACATCCACTTTATCGCATCTTCAAAAACCAATTACGAGAAATACCTGTAATAATAAATAAACAATTAGATTTTTTGAGAACGGCGCAGTTCTTGAAATCCTTGAATTGTCTGATTTTTATTCAATTAAATATTCGATTTTCATTTATCAAAATAATTAACTGTTAATTTTCAGACATGATTATTATAATCAAAGTGTAAAATACATTACGCAGCCAGTCTATTACGCACCTTTGCACGATGGTTCTAAACACAGTTTTTTCGTCAAATTATTCACTAATTTAATTTTCTAAAAGTTTACATAATGATTTTTCGGAATAAATGGACGATAGATACCTAATTATTTAAATATAATATCAGATCTAGAGTTTTTAAACTACAGTAAATATATTTAAGGTTATAAACGTATTTATGAAATATATTTATATTTCACTTCTTCTTTCACACAACTACAATGAAATAATATCTTAAACAATGTCGTTGCCTTGAATCCGTTGGTTTTAAATATTTTTTCAAACTTAAAAAAAAATTTTAATTTACACTTAGTAAGAAAATTTCATTTAAGTTCCATGAAAACACCCGATTTACCTTAAATAATGTTAGATTTTAAAAATTATTATTTATATTTTTTTCGTCACTCTCCGTTACCTTCTACAATTTTCTATATTATATATTGTTTTTTTTTAATTCTCCGCTTTCCAACTATATGTTATAAGTACACCTTCTGCCTATTATTCATTTTCGACCTGGATAACCATTTTTATTTTCTTTCTCCTTTATTCAATTATCAAATTCTTTCAAAAGTTATATTTAGCATTTTTTTCGTAACTCTTAATAATGAGAGATACTTAATTATTTAAAATAAACCATATTAAAGGTATTTTAGAAGAAGACTCATATGAACATCCGACATTTAAGCCCTGTAAAGTGACATCAACGGGGATAGGACCTACATAATATTAAAGACCACTTAATTATACAATGATACACAGAGTTTAATCAAAATCGTTAGAGCCGTTTTTGAGAAAATTGTTAAAATGTGATTCATCGTTGATATAAAGTGGCACTTCTGGTTAGCCGATTTTAAGGAAAAAGTTGCTGTCACATCTGAGGCATATACCTTATGTTAAATCCGTAATATAAGTTTCGTACGGCTTTTCACTTCTGAGCTAGACTGCTAACATACAAACACACAAACCATTTCCCGGGACTTGTTTAATTGGACTCAGGGTACCCCAAAACGTGTATTTCCGTTGAAAACTCAGATTCAAAAAATTTATATACATCGAAATACTTACTATATATTACATATATACGTAAGTGAAAGTAAAAATTAAAATATTTTTATGACCGATAATTTAATTCAAATATCTAAATAACTTGTCATATCAACAGATAATAATAATAATAGGTAATAATAATGATAATTGTCTCTAAGTAAATGAAATATACGAAGCAAATAAGTAATCGCGATACAAATTTACATATGAAAATCATAAATAATTAAAATGATGTATACGTAATGATGTATTTATTTACCAGACCAGTTAATTGTACAATTAATTATACGAGTTTAATCAAATTCGTTACAGCCGTTAGTGCCACTTCTGGTAAGCCGATTTTTAGGAAAAAGTTGCTAGGACATTTAAAGCATATACCTATCTTAAATACGTAATATCAGTTTCGTACGACTTTTCGTTTTCAAACTAGTGTTCACATACACACCATTTTTCTGGACTTGGTTATTTAGACTCAGAGGGTACCTCAAAACTTGCATTTCCGTTGAAAAATCAGACTCGAAAATTTTCACGATCGCAATATTTACCATCACTATATATTCCATATATAGGTAAGTGAAAGTAATAATGCCGACTAACGAGCTCTAAAAAATGCCAACTATCCAGCTCTAAATAAGAAAAATATGGTTTTCATTTCTTCTTCTATTATTTCACATCAGGGCATTATTAATGAGATAATTAAGTCAAAAATTACTGGACACGAAGGGGAAAAGACATTAGTTTGTCACTAATGCCGAATTGGAACTTTGATTTTTTCTCCCAAAACCAACGTCCAACCGTAGCATTATTTCGCCCCAGTGTGCGGCATGAGGGATGGAATGTACTAGTATATCATCGATTTATTCCAAAACGTAACGAAGTAATATTTCATAAAATTAATTATGTTTGTATAGTAGAGAATTTTCTTTCTGTGAAATAAAAAAAATGTGCGTTTGGCGTGACTAGATTTGATATATAAACGGGTTTTCGTCATTAAAGTGTACTCAATGTGTTTTTGAATCTTTGTTGAACTTTGATTTATTAAAACTGTGTATTGTGAATTGTAGATTGTGTGAGTGTAATTATTTTTCTCCTCCGTGACTTTGCAACTATATTACTGAATTTGTGTGGACAATGTGGGGTAATGTAAAGGCGTAAACCTTATAAGAGGATCTGAACAGAAATAAGGAACAGTGTCGCGCTTTTCAGCAAGAGGTGATTGTCTTGTGAGGTTAGTCTTTTTTTTTCCTTTCCAATTTTTGTTTGGTATTCCAATGATAAGATCTAATGATAATATCTATGATAGGATCTATGATTTAATCATAGATCTACGATAAGATCCTTTTTATATCCATCTTAGTGTTCTTTCTAGCACTTCTTCCTCCAAATAACTTTTCTCCATCAAATGAGCGTTTCAGTTGACTGAACGACTAACTCACGATTTAAACATTTTTTATTATTAATTTTAGTGATATTTCTAGTGAGGAAATTTATAAATTTATTCACAATTCTATATTTCAACACTGCGTTCACCTAATCTGGAATAAAATTACTGTCTGTACAGATATTATAAATTTTCCATCCAGAAATATCAGTAAAATGATTTTACACCAAAAATGTTGAAGTTGGAGATAGTTCGGTCAACAGAAAGGCTTGATGAATTGATAAGTAATGAGCTATAAATTTATAACTCAATAAAAATAAAAGTTCTATACGAGGTTGGCAAATATCCTCTGTTAATATGTAATTGTTAAATTATCACATATTTTTCTTACGTTTGCGTTTTCCTATCCTTAGAGCTTTGTATATAATTATATTACAACCGTTTTTCCATTTGCTATGTGTTCTCCTTTGTCAATATTATACTTTAAAATTAGATTTTATTTTCTTCCTTCACTATGATATTTTATTTTTTTAGCTTTATATTATTTGAAATTACCTTATTTATTTATTATTATTTTTTTTTTTTGAATTTGTAAATATGGTGTGAATGTGCTCTCAGAACTCTATTATAAATGTCCTTTATTGAGATTGATTGTAATATACATCAATAAACAAATAATCCAGTTAAAAAAAAAATTAGATTTTACAACTAATATTTATTTCTGGGACAACGCATTTCTTGTCCAACAACGGGTTTGTTTGTCCAACTTCCCAACTGAAAAAGATAAAAGTAATTTTTTGATAATAGAAAACAACGCTGTTTAATTTTTTTAAATGGAAAATGTTTTCAATAATTAAACCCGATACGGAGAAGCAGTTTTTTCCGCCTTTTTAATTCAACTCTTCAAAGCGCTTTGCAACTTTTCCTCCTTCATCAACAAGACAAAAAGATAATGTAGTTAATATTTGCACAAGTAATGCAGTAAATATTTATTCGACAATATTCACTGTTGCTAACTAGCTTTTTCAGTTTTATAGAACAAAAAGAAACAAAGGTGTGTGCTTTAAGTGAAAATATCAACAAGGCCAGATTTTTAATATGAAATATAAATTATAAATAATACCTCATTAAAAAGGAGATAAAATGTTGAACATTTCCTTCGCTTACAGTATTCAGGTCGAATTTTTCGTTTCTGAGATATTTTAATTCATATCCTTAATAAAACTCTAGTTATAGTTTGGTTTTTGACACAATTATTTCCCTTTTTGCCTCTTCAACACGGCGTCACATCAAGATACAATTTTGGATAATAACCCATCAAAGGGAAGATGAAATGCTGAACAATTCCTTAGCTTACAGTGTGCAAGTCCGATTTTTAGTTTTTGAGATATTTTAATCCATATGCAAAATCATTTCATTCAGTCGATTCAACCGACTTTATCCACTCTCCACTAAAAAAGTGTGAAACGTGAACAAATAAATCAATAAAACTCAACGAGTTTTATTTATTTATTTATTTTTTTTTTGGAGCAAGCTTAACATTTTAATCAAAATCCTACTTTGTGAGTCTGATATTGTTAGTCTATAATCAGTCTGAAAGTTCCCAGATAAGGTACGTAATTCTTAATCTAAACAATCTCAAACATATATTTTTTTTATCTACAAACCTTATTTTATCTTTAAAAACCAATTACTAAATATACCTATAACAATAAATAAACAAAGACGTCACGAATCAGATCTTAAGAAATACTCGGAAACCTTTGGTCTGAGATTGTTATTTAAGCAAATATTGAAGTGTTAAATCTTAAAGCAATGAATAGCTAATTTGTAGACATTAATTGCACAACGCACAGTTTACGTTGAAATATATTACTCCATTTTAAATAATAAAGCCATAATGAATAAAACAAAATATCTATATTCCAATAATAGACTTATAACAAACAATGCATACCTCAAAGAGAATTTTAACAGCAAACAGACAGTATACAAAAATCAAGTTTATAAGACTTGATTATCCTTATTTTCTTTCCTTGTAGTTTTGGTTAATTTATGGCCAAGAGAAATTATGTATACCTTCTCAAAAGTAAGGAATTGGACAAATATAGTTTTCTCAACGGCAATGATTAAGATGAAGCAGTGACTTCCTCCATTGTTAAGGAAATTTTATAAAAAGAAAAGGACACTTTTAATTTTGTAAGAGCTTCCATAGTTCTATTACACATTTCTTTGAATTGTAACATGATTCATCAAATTATGTTCTGTATCAACCAAATAACTGCCATATTTTGTCGTTACCACTTTGTAGAAAAGAACTAGTCCGTGGTTCAGAACCCTTTTTCACAACTTTTAATATCCGCTCGAAACTTCGTGAATAGCTTCTTCTCATCGTAACATACGACTTTACAAATTTATGAAAAATCTTGGAATCGGGGAGTTTTCAATCTGAAGATCAGCACACTCTGTCTATTTAATTGGGTGCTTAAAGCACATGAACACTCATTGCTTTCCACTGAAATCATAGGGTGATTTGAACAAAAAAAACTAGAAAAAGAGTGGCTAAAAAGAGTAATTGGGCCGTTTGGCGTTACACCCACTTAATATGTCAAAATAATAAGGTTACTTAGACGTAACGGTCCAATATTCTTGTGTGTTACCTTTTTTTTTTTCGATTATTTTTTATTTTTTTTATTTAGACATATAACATTCTGTCACAGGAACAATGATTATATTGATAAATGAACACATTCACACCGTATATACAAAAAAGAAACAAAATTAACAAAAGTAAAATAATAACTAAATAATAATAAATAAAGACTATATACAATAAAAAAATAAAATAACCTAAATATAAGTAAATTAAAAACATAAAAATACAGTCATACCTATATACAATATATACATTCAGGCGGGGAACCCAAATCCCTGCGCTACTCTCTCAACCGCCTCACCGGTGTTAAAGCCGGTGGAGTTTGAGCGTGAGCGCTTAGCCACTACACTCATGTCTTGAGTGGAGAATCTGGCCATTGCCGGAACTCCAAAATAAATACTATAAAAGATAAAAGGGCCACTGCCGCTTCAACCTTCGAGGAAGATTATGTAGGGTTTTGTTGGTTACATAGAACGGAGATTCGACTATTGTTTGGAGGACTTTGGATTGGAAGGATTGGATGCGTTTGATGTTAGAGAATTTTGCTGTCCCCCAAAGTTCAAGTCCATAGGTCCAAATGGGTTTCAGTAATTTGTTGTCAATTGAAAGTTGAGATTTTCTGGTCAGTAGTCTGTATAATTGGCCGTATCGTCGGTTAAGTTCTTGTCTTTTAAGCCTAGTATGTGGGTTCCACGTTAGTCTTCGGTCTAAGATAAAGCCAAGATACCGGACTGTGCCTGAAAAAGGAAGCTGGATGGAATTAAAGTGGACTGATGGACAGGATCTGCGGCGGAGTGTGAAGGTAATGTGTTTGCATTTGGATTCGTTTACTTTGATGCGGCATTTATTACACCAGTGCTCAATCATGGAAAGGGGCCTTGGAAGATTTAAAGATGCTATTTCGGGATCTGAGTTGGATGATAGGATGGCGGTGTCATCAGCAAATGTTGCCAGGAAGGTATTGGGATGGACAGAGATATCGGCGGTAAAAATGATATAAAGGACGGGACCCAAGACGCTACCTTGAGGAACATCGGCTTCAACTGGGTAGGAGCTGGAAAATTCTGAACCACAGCGAAACCGAAAGGTACGATCAGAGAGGTAAGAACGGAGGATTAAGTACAAGGGCTGGGGTAGATAGATTTTCAGCTCGGAAAGAATCCCGGCGTGCCTTACCCGGTCAAAAGCTTGAGCTATGCCCAGAAAAGCACCCGAGCAATATTGCTTGCTTTCCAGTGCTGCGGAAATATGATCGACCACCCGGAGTCCTTGTTGGACTGTGGAGTGTTGTGAACGAAATCCGAACTGATGGGAAGGAAGATTTTGGGATTCTATAAAGGGTAGGATTCGTTTCAGGAGGATCTTTTCAAAGATTTTGGAGAGGATTGAAAGTAGGCTAATTGGTCTGTAGGATGTAGAGGTGTTGGGAGATTTGCCTGGTTTCGGAAACAGGATAATAGTGGAATGTTTCCACAAAAGAAGAAAGTGGGTGGTTCTAAGGATGGTATTGTATAAATAAGTGAGAAATATAACAGCTTTAGGAGGAAGTTGTCGAAGGATTTGAGAGGTAAGGAGGTCGTATCCAGGAGATTTACGGAGAGGAAGTTTTTGTAAGTGATGTTTGACCTCAGAAGGATTAACTGCTTTAGGGGGCAAGGAAAGTGGAATGGGTGATGTAAGGAATTCTTCTACTGTTGTGGTGTGGGTGAGTTTGGATTCCGGATGAGAGGTAAATGTTCTGGAGAGGTGTCTGGCGAATTCCTCAGCTTTATCTTCATCAGACGCTGCCCAGGAGCCATAGCTTCGACGGAGGGTTTTTTCGATTTAGTGATCAAATTATCTAACGATGCAATTGGAAAGCAAATCGGTTTTAATGATTTTTTAGTACCTTGTTAAATGAATTAATTTAGTCATAAAACTAATCTCTGAAAATTTTCGTGGATAAATTAATTTGCAAGTTACGGCAAGATAAAGCTGTTCACGAAGTTTTAGTTGGATATTAATAATTTGATAAAGAGTGTTCTTTACCATGCGGTAAAAAAAAATATTTTTTTAATTATTAAAAACTGTGATTTTTCCTCTTTTATTTCTCCCACCATAGTTCAATTTCAAGAGGATCTTCGTGACGGTATCTTTCTTTTGGACTCCCTTCGTCTTTTCTTCGTAACTCTCAGGTGTTTGGTGATTTCCCACAAAGTCGTGAAGTAGGTGATATTTTGTATTTAGCCACTCATCTACGTCATTCCACTCCATTTTCATTACTTTGTAAAAGAAAATAAATAAAATAACCTCATAATAGAAAAAAAATGAAAACAACTTTTTCACCTGCTAGTAATCCTATGCAATTAAACATAAATACAAATTTACTGAATATCTACAAATGTGGCATATCTTCGTTTATTTAGCTTATATGATAAAAATTTAGATTATCGAATTTATTTTTTATCTCCCCACAATTATTATTATTTTTTTTTAATAAGTTTTAGTCTAACGTCTAATATCATAATTATTGGTTGATGTGAACCTATTTAATATAAGGTTATAAGGTTAATAAGACCTATATACTAATCAATATCCGACAATTTAAATATATTAATTTAAATATATTTTAAATATTTAAATATTTAATTTGATTAACACAGGCGGAGGGGGAGGAGGCTTTCGGACTGAAGCCCTCCTCTCCCTCCCAAAAAACGGTAAAATATAGCCATATTTGTTAGAAACAAATATTAAGAACTATATCTTAAAGTATTATTGTTCGTGTAATTACATTTATATGACTTCAAGAATCACTTAAAAACCATTTCATATAGGTAGATAATTTCTTTCTTTCAAATTAATTATCGTTATATACATGAAAAAAAAAAAAACGCCCCTACAGTAATCCTACTTCTGCCCGCCCACTCCTCAGACTCTACGGTGCATAATTAATAATCAATTTAAATTCGTTGGACCGTTTTGACTCTCGTATAAATATCTGTCGGCTTTCCAAGAACCTTAGAGAAATTATGAATACTTACGAATTGGCACCTGCAATGGAACTATTCTGCAAAATAATTGTCTCTTTCTGTCTGTTGAAGCGTTGCCCAGGTCTAAAACTAGTTTTTCAGCGCATCCCGCTGGTTCTGCATCCTGATCTGTTGTACTCCTAGATTGAGAAAGTGCATCCAGTACATCAGGCAGTCGCTGGGCGATGGACCAATGATTTAAAGGAATATACCATTGGCAGCAGATAAATCCCCGGAACATCCTCTGTAACAGGAGCAAAACTGATCTGTCTTCTCTCCTTAAGGTTGAACAACTCTATAAAGTGACTTTGATACTGCTGGGTAATCTGAACAATAAAAAATAGACAAGAAAAATTATTGTACGATTTCAGAGAAAAATTTGCAGCAAAATAAAAAATTCCCCAATGTTGAATTAAATTTATGTTTTAAATCGATTACATAGGAAAACTAAGAAAATATTCATATATCGCTACAGTTAGTACAATTTTATATTCTCATTCTATTTGTGCTATAGCTGACATTTTGTTGTCTGTAACTAGTTTGCTACTGTGGAATATGGAGATGTAAAATAAAATAATAAAAGAAAATTTATAAAAAAAAATCAACTTTCACACGAAACGTTTTTCACTGACAGTAACGATATAAGAAAGTCAATATTGCTTTTTGTTCCGAAAGTGAACATTATGTAAATTTCCGTAAATGATATATGCATTTTATAAATACATTATTCAAACATACAATATGTACTTTAATGCTATGTATGTATAACATACACATCGTTAAAGTATATTAAGAAAGTATTCATCAATATCTTGTCGCAATCTCAACATTTCAACTGACTTGTGTGATCCCATCCAACTGAAGTTGGAACACATATTGAGTGACACCTGAGAACGCAGTTATGATTGATTGATAAATCACTTTAATTATTGATTTTAAATTAATATAATTCAGTGACTTTGATATCGAATCGTTAAGTGATACTACAAGTATAATTTTTTTTTTTTATTATTTGTATAATTAGGCCTTAGGCACAAGCGGATTTGAGGGGCGAATGGGGTAGTTTTCGGACTAAAATTTCCACAAAAAAAGGAATTTTTTTCATTGGTCAATATTTGTTCTATAAATAATCTTAGATAAATAATTGCAAGCTAAAAAGTTACTTAAACAATCACAATATAACATAGTTCTGAGATTGTATAAAAAAAAACTTTTTATAACTGATGAAAAAATCACACAAAAATTAAATCACCTTGAAAACTACTTTTGTGAAAAAAGAGTTAAACCAGCAGCTAAAAACTATCAGGACGATATTTTGGAACCTGTTTTTAAGCCTCTAAAAGATACTCTGTTTGCTGGAAGTCCTTGGATTTTCCAGCAGGATTCCGTTCCAGCTCACAAGGCCTGGTCAAACTCAGCAGTGGCTGCAAAAGAGCATTCGAGAGTTCATATCTGCCTCGGATTGAACCTCAGGAAGCACTGATCTCAACCCATTTCATTATCGGCTTTACTGCGAACTGGAGAGGATGGCATGTCACAGAGCACACCTTAACATGGAAAGCCTCAAACAACCTCTGGTCCGAGCAGTTTAGCGGTTTCCTCAAAATGTGCTGCGTGCTGCTATTGAAACTGGCCACGGAGATAAAATGCCTGTGTCAAGCCAAAAGAGGGACATTTTGAGTAGTTTCGTTTTTTTCTTTTACTCTTTAGAGATTAAAGTTTATGAAAAAATTAATTTTTCTGTTGAAATCTGTATGTATTTCCTTGTAACAATATTTATGAAAGGATTTATGGAAGGCATCTGAACAGAAATTTCTTCATCAAGTAATTCCAACAATATGACCGCATCATGATGTTAAAATAGTTATGGGTGACTTGAATGCAAAAATTGGAAAAGAAGAAGTCTTTCGGCCAACTATCGGTGTGTTTAATAAACATAAACTATCCAATGATAATGGAATTAGAAGTATAGAGTTCGCCCAAGAAAAAGGTATGGTGATCAAATAATACATAAGGAAACCTGGATGTCCCCAGACGGAAAAAGTATAAATCAAATTGACCACGTTCTCATAGATTGTAGACATTGTTCTGATATAAATGACGTGAGAAGTTATCGAGAAGCGGAAGCCGACACTGATTATTTCTTGATTAAAGTACCTTACAGACAGAGAATAGAATGCAATGTCCGAGTAAAGAGAAAAATAACTATCACGTACCAAAGCGGAATTTTAAAAATACCTCAAAAAGCATACCTCAGGAATCATTTTTAAAGAAGTGTGATGAAAATAAGGAAATAAACAGTTATTGGGAAAGGATTAAATCATCTTTAAACGAGGGGACCGAGGAGATTTTGAAGACAACACAGATAAGGGCGAGCAAGGAATGGTACGATGAGGAATGCAACTGGGCACTTCGGAACAGAAAATAAGCGAAATTGAGAAGGCTTACTGCGGGTACAAGAAGAAGTAGGCAGGAGTATATCTCAATGAGAAGGATCACAAAGAAGATATATTTTGAAAAAAGCATACTCAAAATGCTCCAAAGCGATTTTGATTTAAAATTCACATGAAAATTCTAAAAAGGAATAAGGAATTCAAGAATTGTTTCCAACCCAAAATGACAATATGCAAAAATAAGAAAGGTGAACTTATCGGCGATCCATAAAAAATCTTGGAGAAGTGGAGAGTGTATTTTTAATGATTTGTTAAATGTTGAACAACCAATCCCAAGCAGAGTAGTGCGAAACTGCCCTAGAGTAAGACAGGAGGAAGTTAACAACAGTGATGTAGAACCTCCAGATTATGAAGATTTTTTAGATGTAATAGCCGCATTGAAGGATAATAGTTGTCCTGGTCTGGATAGTAGAGATGGTAAAGAATAGCGGAGAGCCTTTGCTTAGAGAGAACTACAACCTAATGATGGAAGTCTGGATAACGGAACAAACGCCTAAAGAATGGACTACTGCTATCATATGCCCTGTTTTCAAAAAAGGAGAAAAAACAAACAATTATAAAGGCATTTCATTGTTAAATACAGTATACAAAGTATTTGCAGTTCTGTTGAATAAAAAGTTCAGTTTTCGTCCGAGAAGGTTTTTTGGCAAAAACCAGTGTGATTTTAGACCTAGTAAATCAACTATAGATCACATTTTCTCGATAAGGCAAAAAAACATGCGAATACCAAATGGACTTGCATCATGTTTTAATATATTTTAAACAGGCATATGATAGTATAAACAGAGAAGAATTACTGAAGGCAATGACAAAATTAGGGATTCACAAAAAACTGGTCAGTTTGACAAGAATGACCCTAAGCGGCAGTAGATCAGTTGTGAAAATTAATGGCCAATTGTTGGAGGATTTCGAGGTGAAAGATGAGCTTAGGCAAGAAAATCCTTTATCCCCTACCCTATTTAATATTGCTTTTGAGTATGCAATAAGGGCGATCAAGACATATCCTGGTGGCACGATTTATAATACAATGATACGCCATCTGGCTTATGCTGATGATGTAATAGCGGCAAAAAATAAAACATCATTAGCAGGGACATTAGAAGAATTCGAAACTGCAACTAAAGAACTAGGGCTACAAATAAATAAATAGAAGACTGTTTACATGCAAACGTCAAAAAAGCCAAGTGAAATAGCCGAACGCGGCACAATTGGAAACCATACCCGTGGCTAAAAGTGGCCGAAGATTTTAAATATTTGGGAGCACTAATCACAGAAAACAATGAAATGGTAGAAGAATTAAAAGCAAGGATGACTGCCGGGAATAGGTGCTGTTTTGCATTACGAAAAATATTGAATTACAGATCTCTTTCTCACAGAATAAAGATCACGGTGTATGAGAAAGTCATTAGACCCGTCGTCACCTATGGCTCTGAGACTTGGGTGATCTCTAAAGGATCGGAAATCAGGCTACTCGCATGGGAGAGAAGGGTTCTCCGCAGGATCTACGGCCCGGTGTGCGAACAGGGACAATGGAGAATTCGCACTAATATAGAACTGTATGAAATGTATACGAGGCCGGATTTGGTTTCAATTGTGAGAGGCAACGAGATCAGATGGTTGGGCCATGTGGCGCGTATGCCCCGAGACCCGATTCCCATACGCTTGCTAGAGGATCGGCCTGCTGGAAAACGTGGAAGAAGGAGACAGGAATGGGATGTGATGGGAACTCTGAAAAGGAGGGGAATTCAAAGATGGAGAATGCTCGCTCGGGATAGAGGAGAGTGGCGAAGAATCATAAGAGAGGCCAAGGTTCTTACAGGACCATAGCGCCAAAAATAAATAAATAAATATAAATAAAATAAAAACAGAGCAACATCTCAAAATTTGAATGTTCTTATGAAAGATAAATGAAAAGTATTCTGATATCTATATTTATTATTAGCAATAAAGACAAACTCGGTGAGTTTCACAACCGTAACATATATTTAATTTAGTGAAACATTCTACGTAAAAAAATATTTCGAGACATTACAGTATTCAACTGCATAGATATTTCCCTGTTGCTAGGAATACAAGAATATCTCAAAATGAATCTTTTTTTAGATGTCACAATGTTGAACTTATCATTATTGCAAATTTTATTTTTTTTTTTATGTTTGACAGACAGTAAAATCGCTTCTGACATATTTCTTTTTAAATATGAGCACTGATTATTATTGACAGTGATGAATTGGACTAAAACAATTCATCCCATTTCCGTGAAATAGTATCTATGTTATCTCATTTGAAGTGGACAGTGAGGTCTTCTTAAAGGGTCGTAGAGAGGAGTGCGCAGTCAGTGTTATCTGAAACAGGTAAGTCGAAAGAAACCTCATCATATTTTGAATGGCATTCACTAACATTGTTGAAAGAATAGTAAACAGAGTTTAAATGGTGCAATTTAGGATGAAGACTCTATTAATATCCAGCTTGCTCTTGGTGGCAGCATATGGTGGTTCAGACCACCAGGAAAACTTCAAAGAAATCATCGACATTGTCAACTCATCCGGAGCTAAATGGAAAGTAAGAAAAACTAATAATATATATATATATATATATATATATATATATATATATATATATATATATATATATATATATATATATATATATATATATATATATATATATATATGGGTGTGTGTGTGTGTGTGTGTGTGTGTGTGTAATAATAATATATATTCTATAATATATAGCAACATGTTAATCGATATTAATTTAGTTTAAATAATTAAATAATTTTTTCCTTTTTTTTATTATTCAGAGAAATTTTAGTATTTAACAAGATTAAAACATACAATTATTTTTATCTGTATTATAATATAATTTATTGAACACAGGCTGGGCAGAACTTTGGGGAGAACACGACAGTAGCATCATTGAAGAAGTTTCTGGGATTGAAGAGAGATAGGCTCTTCAAATTGCCGCTAAGAGCAGAACACCCCACCCTGAACTCCAAGATCCCAGAGAGTTTCGATGCAAGGGACAACTGGCCTGCTTGTGATTCCATTCGTCACATCAGGGATCAGGGAACCTGCGGATCTTGTTGGGTAAAATACTGATTTTATAAAAATCAATGATACTACATCTATTATTATTTTTTTAATTATTGTACTTTCCTGTAACAAGCTTAATCGATCGATACGTTAATCCGTTTTTTTAGTATTGTTTTCTGTTTTGGTCACTTGCGGTAGGGTCTTGAAAAGAAAATAGCTTTGATATTTCAACGTATCCAAGAATGTCAAATAGTTTTTTGGGACCCGGAAGTTTTCCCTTCCTGCGAACGATTGTTTTCGCGATCTTCCCAAGTATCTTGCTTTGAAATCGCTACAGGTAAGCGCTCTGTTCCCTCGATTAGGTGCGTTAACAACGTTGCGCCGTTAAGGAATGCTTTTTTAAAATCTTATTTCTTGATCGTCTTGTGCTCTTTCGGCCATACGACGTATAGCAGTCCAGTAAATTTCACCTTCTGTCCTTGCTTTGTTTCTAATGCCTTGCCGTCCGAGACAAGACAATAGTTGCAGAGCATTCATGTGTTGAAGAGTGCTGTCCTTATATACTTCAATAGACTTGTCAGTCTGAAAGAGAGTGCCGGTGTTGTAAGCAGATGATGTAGACTGTACGTCTAGCTGTTTTTTTATATATGGGGATAGAAAACCGAAGATAAAATGTCCACTTTTATACTTAGTTAGACTATTGCATTGGATGGAGTAATTGTAGAATTTGCCACATAGAGAGTTCTCAGCATTGGGTTTATCACTCCCCGGTGGTTGCGAAAACACTAGGCAATTATTTTGGTTGGATTCACTTTGTATCTAGAGATTTTTTAGGATTACAATAATCTCGTCACAGGATTCTTTGGGATTGAGGTAGCGCGAGTTAGGAGAAAGCACTGTAAATGGCAATATCATTGCCGTAGAAAGTTTTTGTAGTTCTGTACTTTTTTCTCCTAACTCATTTGTTCGGCTATATGGGTTTTCCCTGAGCCAGGGAAGAGTGCGGGGAATTAATGCCAGTTAAAAGTTCCACGGCACCGAGATTCGAACTCGTAATCTTGTCTTTATCAGGCTGTCGGGCAACACGTTTTTTTACATATGTGCTAGAACGCTCGGTCACCCCGTCTCCTTTGTAATTTTTGTTAACTACGTCCCCAATATATAGCTAATATTAGTGAAAAAGGTCATATGTAAAAACTGAGTCTTTTTACACAAGAGCTTTTTGTATTTGTTTTTTATATTTTTTTTAATTTTATTTTTTAAATAATCAATTTGTCATATTGTGATTGTTCAAGTAACTATTTATCTTGCAATTAGATAACTCATAGATCAAACATGGACAAATTAAAAAAAATTCCAATTAAGGGAAGATTTCAGTCCGAAAACTACCCCATTCGCCACTCAAATCCGCTTGTGCCTATGGCCTAATTATACAAATAATGAAAAAAAGTTGTATACTTGTAGTATCACTTAACGATTCGATATCAAAGTCACTATATTATATTAATTCAAAATCAATAATTAAAGTGATTTATCAATCAATCATAACTGCGTTCTCAGGTGTCACTAAATATGTGTTCCTCCTTCAGTTGGATGGGATGACACAATGAATGAAGTCAGTTGAAATATTTAGATTGTGATAAGATACTGATGAAATAAATAAACAAATAAAGTCAGATTTCGTCAATCGAAATATTATTCCAATAATTTGTCTTCATTTATTATAACTAGCGAATTCGGGATTATTTTTAAAGATTATTAATTTATAAAAATCAAGAAGTTTTTGTAGTTTCAGAAAAAAAAAATACTTCTTATATAAGGATGGGTTAGAATAAGAATAATGTAAGACAATTTTGTTTTTTGTCCAGAAAGTGAATAATTTGTTAATATATTTTTACGATGTATGCATGTTATGCATACATATCATTAAAGTTCATGTTGTATGCTATAATAATATATTTTTAAAATGCATATATCATTAACGGAAATTCAGAAAATGTTCACTTTCGGAACAAAAAGTAATATTGACTTGACCAATATCGCTACTGTTAGTGTAAAAGGTTGTATGTAAACGTTTTTTTTTCTAAATGATCATTTAAAAAAAAATGATTATTTCTTTATGATTTATAAGTGTAATTTCATATTTCATTTTCTGTATTTTATTGTACCTATTTTATTTTATTTCTGCTATATTCCACAAGAACAAACTACTTGCAGTTGCAGACTACAAAATGTCACCTTTAGAACAAAAAGAATAAACATAGAAAATTATGATACAGTAATACAGTAACGATACATTAATAATAACACCAGCGCCGGCCTTAGACATTCTCGTAATCTTCCTCACAAAAATTAAAATTATTTTTAAATCTGTTTTATATTATTAAATGATATTTAATTCAGTATGTCAATGATTAAATCTTTTTTTTAATTGGCTAAAATTAATTATTTTCATACGCTTTGTATTTTTGCTTTAATTTAATAGAAGTGGCGGGCGCCCAACGTTGGTCGACTTACCCTAAGGCCGGTTGCGGGAACGATGTTAGAACTGTATATTATCATATTATTATTAAAATATAAAGCTATAATACAACTGTAAACAGAATTTATATCATGCTCGAAATCAAAAGATATCATTACGAACGTGATCTTAAACTATGAGTCGAATCAGTGATGATATGAAATTATTTTAATCAAATAAGTAACGTTCAGTGATCTTGCTCACCTGAGGTTATATCCCTTGTTAATTGCAGGCAGTTGCTGCTGCTGGAGCGTTCACAGACAGGTTATGCATTGCTACAAACGGCAAGTTCACGTTGCCACTCTCTTCAGAGGAACTGCTGGCCTGCTGCTCAAGCTGTGGAGATGGTTGTAACGGAGGATATCCTTCTGCAGCATGGAAGTATTTTGCTAGTAACGGACTCGTTACTGGAGGAGACTACAAATCTGACGTGGTAAGTGGTTCAACCTTCAGACCATTTCTATTTCAACAAGTAAATTTCCGTACTTTTATTTCCGGCATATTCCTCTAATTATTTAAGAGCTAATATGGGATTATCAATTTTCAGGGTTGCCAGCCGTACGAAATTCCAGCTTGCTCGCATCACGTCAAAGGATCGCTGCCATCCTGCGACTCCTTACCAGAATCAAAGACACCCAAATGCCAAAGGAAGTGTACAAACTCAGCCTATCCTGGTTCCTTCTCGTCGGATCACCACAAACGTAAGAAGCATGAAAAAAGCTAAGAAAAAAAGCTCTTTTTTTTTTTTTAATGACCAGCCAATGATTATTATAATTGTTTTTATGCGTAGTTAAAAGCTATTACTCCGTTAGCGACAGAGTGGAAGAGATTCAGAAAGAGATAATGCTCCACGGTCCGGTAGAAGCAGGTTACACAGTCTACTCAGACTTTCCGACTTACAAATCAGGTATAGTATTATCATTCCACAGTTTTTGGATTGAAACCTTTTAACTGAATTTTTAATTTTAATAGAAGCCACAAATCAACATCTTACCTTCGTTTAATGCCCCCTATGATCTAGTGATACGACAAAATGATTCTTGACTGGTCTTGTCGGTATTATATATTATTAATAGGTATTATATACTTAACCAAGCAGATCTAGGTCGGACAGAAACACAGAGTGATCGTAATGTCCATATTTTTTTAGCATATTCCAAGACAAGTTTTTGTCATTCACCATTATCAATATTCAAACTCATCATTCAATTCTCATTATTCTGCCCCGCTTGTTAGTCCGCTCGGCCATCCCGCCCGGAATCTTCTGCCATATTAAAGTGGGCACGTTTAAAATTGGCGTCCATTGGAAAGAGAAGTTTTTTTTTTTTACTTTTGTTACGAGACAAGATAAAACTACCAATACCCACCAGATGAAAAAAATGTTTTCACGCCATGTAGGGATGAGGCCTAATTCCAAATCCATCTCCCCCTTCCGTTCGGCAATTTAATTTGGAAAATATCGAGTAAAGAGCTATTCCTACAGTATTGGTGATGATTTAAACCATCTAGCCTGTAGTTTTCCGGAGTTTGGAGCAGCTGTGGAGCACGTTGTCACGACCTGCACCATATTTGAAGCGTTAAAGATCACATTCATGAGAGCCACTGGAATCTACGTCATTACTGAAAAGGAGTTTCCTCCATTAGTCAGTGAGGATAATTTCTCCTAGGCTCAAATAACCTTTGGTGTATCAATATACCTGATGGTGTATTAACGGATGGATATCGGTGGTGGGCCCATTCAACATCGGAGACCGCAGAATACTTGACCCTAAACCAAATATATCGCAATATATTGAACCCACTAACGAAGCAGATAAAATTTGCAGAGGCGGTTTTACGCGTTTTAGCTTAATGTAAAATGTAGTAGGAATTTTTACTATGTAGTACGATCCTTACGTATTCATAATTAAATATGAGGAGTGGGTCGAGGGTTGCGGTCAAATAAAATAGTATTTTAAACAATGTCATCGCCTTCAATTTTTTTCAAATTTAAAAATATTTTAAAAGGTTATATTCCGCTAGTAAATCTCATTTAATTTCCTTGAAAACGTGAAGTGATTTACGTTAAATATTATTAGTTTTCTAAAATTATTATTTATAGTTTTTTTGTCACTCTCCGTTATCTTCTACAGCTTTATATATTAGATAATATATTTTTTTTTCTAAAATTTTCCGCTTTCCAACGATATATTATACGTTGATTTATTTTAGTACACCTTCTGACTAGTATTTCCGGAGATTAATTTTCGACCTGGATCAGAATTTTTATTTTATTCACCTTTATTAAATTATGAAATTCTATCAAAAGTTATATTTAGCATTTTTTCGTAACTCTTAATAATGAGATATAGTTAATTATTTAAAAGAAACCATATTAAAGTTAATTTAGAAGAAGACGCATATGAACATTGGACATTTAAGCCCTGTAAATTGACATCAACGGGGACAAGACCTGAATGATATTAAAGACCACTTAATTATACAATGATTCACCGAGTTTAATCAAAATCGTTATAGCCGTTTGTGAAAAAAATGTAAAAATATGTTTCACCGTTGATATACAGTGGCACCTCTTCCGGTTAGCCGATTTTAAGGAAAAAGTTGCTGGCACATCTAAGGCATATACCTATCTTAAATATTTAATATTAGTTTCGTACGGCTTTTCGTTTTTGAGCTAGACTCTTAACATACAAACACACAAACCATTTTCCGGGACTTGGTTATTTGGACTTAGGGTACCCCAAAACGTTTATTTCCGTTGAAAACTCAGATTAAAAAATTTTCACGATCGCAATACTTACCCCTAGTATATACTACATATTTACGTAAGTGAGAGTAAAAATTAAAATATTTTTATGACCGATAATGTAATTCAAATATCTAAATCACTTGTCATATTAACAGATAATAATAATAGGTAATAATAATGATAATGGTCTCTAAGTAAATGAAATATGTGAAGCAAATAAGTAATCGCGATACAAATTTACATATGAAAATCATAAATAATTAAAATGATCTATATGTCATGATATATTTATTTACAAAGTTCCACCAATAGACAAATTGATCAGTTACAATTTTCCAAAAACGAAAAAAAGTATAGACTTCATCTAAAAATAAAAAAAATGAAATACATATCAGAAAAAATATTACTGTGAAATAAATTATTTAAATAAATTATAAAAGATATTAATGATATTAAAAAATATCTGCCAAGTAAGATAGCTTCCTTACCATATTCACAGATATTTTTCATCAGTCTGAAAAAAACTAATTCATGAGGATTTGTAAGAATATGAGTAATGTGAAAAAAATGGAGGAAAAGAAAGCTTATAGATACTTAAAACTAATTGAAGCTGAGATCTTACCCTTCAACAATTACTAACTCAAAGTACTTTTGAATAAGGCCCCTTACTATTTTGTATTTCAAAAAGGAAATTAAAATCACAACCAGTTGGTTGAGCTTTCAAAAGAACAGACAAAAAACGAATATAATATTAAAGGAAGGAGATGGTCCGGGGTTCCGATCATAAAAAGGCTAAATAGTGGTAAAACTATTTTATTGAAGCTTTTTTTTTTTTTTTTTTTGAAAGCCTTATTTTTTGGCTTTCAATAAAATAGTTTTACCACTATTTAGCCTTTTTATGACCGCAACCCCGGACCATCTCCTTCCTTTATAATGCAACGCTCAACTATTAAATATTGAATATAATATTATTTAATACAGCTTATGAGTAAACTTTCATTTAAATTTACAAATATCTACATTAATATGTAAATTATGCAATTATGATAAAATGATGCAATTCGAAACAATAAAATTCACACGTTAAAAAAAAATCTACGTTTCAGTTTTTGCTGTCTTTCAAAAAATGTATTTATTAAAAAAAAAACAAAGACAGAATTAATGAATTCGAGATTCGTGTTTTTATAAAATAACCTTGACTAATGTTAAGTGATGACATACATGTGGATAAAACATGGTTATATTTTACCATTTCGGGGTGGGAGGAGCTTCAGCCAATATGTAATGATGTGTTTATTTACAAATTTCCACCAACAGACAAATTGCTTAGTTACAATTTCATAGCATAGATAACCAAATTATAAAGTTTATATACTCTGTCGACGAAAAATATAACATTCTTTAATTTATTAGAAAGCGCATTTTTCGCTTTCATGCATTGTTTAGGAGTTATAGATGAAAAAAAAACAAAAAATCTGACTTTTTTGGCTGTAAAAAGTTTTTCCTTGGTGGTCCGCGTTAGCAATTTTGTTTTTTACATGTCTAAAACCATTACAAGTTGAAAAATTAAAAATATTCACAAAATTTTCATAATAGATTTCTAAAAACCAGTCTTTCCAATACAAAATTTTACGAAGAATAGTTGACGCACCATTTTATGTCGAAAACGATAGATTACATAAAGACTTGAACATCCCAACAATTTTAGACACTGCAAAAGAAAACTACAATAACTTTCACCAAAGACTAACTTGCAACACAAATCCTCTGACAGAAAACCTTAAAAGCACTTGAAACCCGTACAGCCCACCTCGACGATTACGTAGCCGGTGGCCAAGAGACCTGCTGAACTGAACTATTTCCTGGATCTTGATGGGACGCTGTGAAGCTGTCAAAAAAATTTGCTCATTCGCAGATCGCAAATTTAATTTTTATGTTATGTACTAATAATAATAATAAAAAAAAGATTTCCCGCTTCGTTCCTCAAATTACTGGCCAAATATTCTTTAAATCAGCCGCCATTTTTGAAAGCAGCGGCGCTGGAACGGCAGACAAGGTTATTTTTACCCAGAGCAACATAAACTTTCGTAATTTGCAATATAACCTTTGCCTGCGATGAGGTCGACCATTGGGCGCTGGCTCCAGGGCAATCAACTTTGGGTCAAACAGTACGAGCTGTTTCTAAAATATAGCCTTTTTAAAGTAGTGGATTGAATTTGACGCATTTGATCCCCACTTCATCATTGTTTGTAATTCCCTATCTTCCCTCGAACTTTGAGCCAAATCGACAATGACCCAAATTTGATCCCGGATGTTTAAAAGGCAAAACGCCAGTGGAAAATTTCGATTTTTTTAAACTCCTACGTGTATGAAAAGCTTCCCAACCTTCGGTCACGAGGAAACAACAAAATTAATAATAGTAAAATAAATAATTATACTTTAAAATACTTCACTAGAGAACTAGCATTGTTTATATGTGTGACAAAATTTGATTGGAAAAAGGTTAAAATATACCCTTTTGCATTTTAAGTTAATCATTAATGATATGCTATTGCATAAGAATAGTGTCCATGAAACATATTCATTGTGTCCTATTATTTACCAGGTGTTTATCATTACGTGACTGGTGAAGAGCTTGGTGGACACGCAGTGAAGATCATTGGCTGGGGCGTCGAAGATGGCACACCCTATTGGCTAATAGCTAACCAATGGAACGAAAGCTGGGGTGATAAAGGGCTTTTCAAGATATTGAGAGGAAAAGACGAATGCGGCATTGAATCTGAAATTGTTGCCGGTATTCCCAAAGTATAAATAAATACGCATCATTATTATTATTATTATTATCATTGTATATTTTAAATAAAACTGTTTTATAAAAATGTGAATGCTTTTTTACAATCACAATAATACTGCTTACTATTTACACAAATCTTATATAAGAGCAAGCCGTTGTAAAATAGGTAGGTAAATAACTATTACAAAATAATACAAGGAATTTCCAAAAACTGAGGAGTGATATTACAGTGAAGGCGAATGATAAATATAAAAAGGATTCGGAAGATAAAAACCTTTATAGTAGAGGACGTACATTTCTTGAATTCTGTGATGATCATGTGATGGGGACACTGAATGGAAGAATCGGAGGAGACAAAAGGGAGGACTGACTTGTATATTAAAAGAACATAACAGAAAGGCTTGATAAATGGATAAGTAATGAGCTATACAGAGAGAAATACTTTATTTAAAGCAGTGCTGCCCTACTATATAAGGTTGCTCGAAACACAGCATACTCATCAATCCTTTTTTTTTTTTGGACATACAAATTCTTATTCATATTACACAGCACAAACAATATCAATACTATAATATACTAATACATATTTCGGTGAAACCGACACAAGACAATTTCTAAAATTTATAGGGCTAAAAAAAAAAAAAATATAGTATTCGAATGTCAAAGTTTTAACACCAGGAAATTAGAACGCACACACAGGCAGTAACACAGTCCTATGAACATAGACAAAAATATATGGTCACTTAAATAATTTAAAATTGATAAAATAAATAATTACCATATAAGTGATGATGAATGATCCCAAGGGAGTCCAGAATAATATAATTAATAACTCAATAAAAATAAAAGTTCTCTATGAGGTTGGCAAATATCCTGTGTTATTATGTAATTGTTATATTATCACACATTTTTCTTATGTTTGGAGATTGTTTTCCTATCCTCAGAGATTTTTATATAATTATATTACAATTTTGTTTCCATTTGATATGTGTTCTCCTTTGTCAATATTATACTTTACAATTAGATTTTATAACTAATATCTGGAATCTGGGACAACGCATTTCTTGCCTAACAACGGGTTTGTTTGTCCAACTTCCCAACTGAAGAACATAAAAGTAATTTTTTGATAATAGAAAACAATGCTGTTTAATTTTTTTAAATGGAAAATGTTTTCAATAATTAAACTCGATACGGAGAAGCAGTTTTTTCCGCCTTTTTAATTCAACTCTCCAAAGCGCTTTGCAACTTTTCCTTCATCAACATGTGTAGTTAATATTTGCACAATTAATGCAGTTAATATTTATTCGACAATATTCACTGTCGTAAATAGCTTTTACAGTTCTATAGAATAAAAAACAAAACAGAGATGTGTGCTTTAGACTACACCATAGAAGTGAAATCATCAACAAGGCGAGATTAATAATATGAAATACAAATTATAAATAATAGCTCATTATAAACAAGATAAAATGCTGAATATTTCCCTTGCTTATAGTATGCAGGCCCCATATTTAGTTTTTGGGATATTTTAATCCATATGAATAAATAGTTCAATAAAACTAGTCATCATTTGGTTTTCGACTCTATTTTTTCTTTTCGCCTCCCTAACACGGTGTCGCGTTAAGATAAAATTTTAAATCTGGAGAAACATCCTTAAACTTGCGACGAGAATACCAAACTCTGAAATACATTGCCAAATTGAAAGCATCTTCCCACCACCCATTAACTCCATATTTATTTTCAGAAGAATCAGAAAGAAACGGCCTTAGAGATATAGAAAATAACATTTTTAAACAAGTAATTTACAAGGCAACAACTAAAATAAACATGGATACGAATATTATAAGACCCGTTCCAGAATTAAAAATGCCGCGCTGGAAAAAAGACAGACTATTGATTAGTAAATCCATGACTAAAATTGCAAAGACATATCCGCTCGAAATGCAAAAATCTTTTTTAAAGCTAACGGAACAATATAAAAATTTCGATTTTATATATGCGGATGCATCCAAAGAAGGAGATAACGTAGGATGTGCTTTAGCAAGTAAAGAGAACCATTTACTGTTTAAATTACCTGGAGAATGTTCCGTATTCACAGGAGAGGCCACTGCCATCATGAATGCCTTATATCTTATAAGCGATCTGCCTATGTGACTAATTTAATTATTCTTTCTGTTTTATTCTATTTAAGTAGCAAATATCATATTCACCTTTCCTCGTTTTTTTTTTTATTAAAAATAAATAATACCTACGTATATAGGTAGGTATTTATTTAAATTTATTATTATGTGATCTGTCTTTGGCCATACTTGATTTTTTTTTTTGTTTTAATTGTTATTCTTAAGAGGATTAATACCGAAATAAATTTAATTTTTCTAATATATTCTATAATGTACATACAAAAATTATATTATATAGAACAATATATTTTTGTTATTCATTAAAAAAGTAAACCATATTTTACATAAAATAAAACCATACATCACGCATCCGGTGCAATAATGACGTAACGGCAAATTATAAAATATTTATAGGATGTAGAAAATAATTAATAAATAATAATAACTATCAACGAATGGAGGAGAAGGACCAATAAATGACTCCTTACAGAAACTGGTCAATTAATATCTCGTGAAATGAAGGCAAGGAAGTTGAGATGGGCGGGGCATATAGCTCGGAGCAATCTATCAGGAAGCCTCTAAACAAAAATGAATGTCTCAATAGTAGGCAAAAGACCACTTGAGAGGCCAAAAACCAGATGGATAGATCGAATTAACAAAAATGCAACAGAGGTGAATGCAGATAACTGGTAAGAAATCAACAGCAAGCTTAAATAGATTACCTCTTAGACCGGATATTACAGCTATATTAAATAATGACAAATCAAATATAGAGACGGTTAAAAATTACCTTAGAACTCATCGATTATTTAACAGAATATATAAATGTATGTATATATATATATATATATATATATATATATATATATCTGAAAAGAACTACTGGGTAGTTGTGACGGACTCATACAGCGTTTTAACTGCCATTGAAAACCCATATCCTAGAAACTGCATAATTAGGGAAATTCTCAACACCTGGTGGGAGGCAAAAAATAAAGGAACAACAGTTGTCTTGGTATGGGTACCAGCTCATTGCAGAATTTTAGGGAATGAAAAAGCTGACAATGCAGCCAATTTAGCAAGAAGTGGAGGAGAAGAAGAGGAAGTGACTAGAGTGAAATATATCACTTTAGAAGACTGGGTACACGAAATAAAGAAAAAACAACAGGCAGAGTGGGAAAAAGAGTGGAGGATCATAGAGTGTAAGCTGAAAGAAGTGAAACCCAATTGCGATAAATGGCTCACTAGCAACAGAAAAGAAACAGCCTAAGGATTGGGCACTGCCAGGTCACTCATAGCTATCTTTTAAGAGGTCTAGAAGCTCCTACTTGCGAGAAATGTAATAATACACCGCAAACTGTGAAACACCTTCTAGTAGAATGTTCCCAATTCAAAAGGCACAGAGAAAAAATAGAACTAGGAAAAACACTAATCGAAATACTACAAGACAATGAAGAGAGAGTCTCTATCCTGTTTAAATTTTTAAAGATTATCAACTACTACAATAGAGTAAAAATTATATAGAAAACGCCCATGACCCTTTAGGGTAGAGGCGAGAAAAGGAGAAAAAAAATAAATAATAGCCTATTACAGAGAGGATGAAATGCTGAACAAATCCCTCGCTTATAGCATGGAGGTCCGATTTTTTATTTCTGAGATATTTTAATCTATATGAAAAAATACATCAATTTCTCGACTCCAGCCGATTTTACTCGAGCGTTACACATCAGAGATCCGGCCGCTCAATCTAATTCACTTTCCACAAAAGAAATGTGCAAAAACGCGCCTACAGAAGTTTTTACTTCAAAATTCTGATTAATTGTGTACAAATACTCCAAAATATTTAAAATCAATATGGGATTGCTCCCAGATATGATTTTTGGGCCGCAACGATCGATTGGGTATACAGTATAAACAAGAATGAAGTCATTCCTGCTTTTGAAATTATTCATAATAAGAAAATTAATTAAAGTAAAAAAGAATTATTTAATTTGTAATACAGAGTTTAAATCTATTTGCAAGTCTAAAAAATAGAATATTTTACTAAATTAATAACAAGGTTAAAAAAGGCAAATTATTCAATTTTTTTTATTTTTTTATTTCTTGAAGACATTTACAACTGTATTAAATAAATACATCCTGTAAATTAGAACATAATGTATATAATGACATGAAAAACACTTGCTGAGTAACTACCCAATGGTAGCACTCTAAATTATTCAATTGAAATGTGGATAAGCAACTTAATTCTTCAGGGAACGTAAGTTTGTTAGTGGACATCAAATAAAACCCCAAGAAATGGCGGCTCATTTTTCTCAACTACTTACCTTCCCATTTTTATGAATCGATAGCGTATGCGGAAATTCGATTAAATATGAAAACAAAAATTACTAATGAGGAAACAATGATAGTGATTCACAAATATAAAAATAATAAAACATCAGGACAAAATCGCATTACGTATCAATTATTTAAACATGCAACACCAAATTTACACAAAAAGTATTTTACAGTATATTGGAAAATAAAACGTACCTGGAAGTTTTAAAGAATTCATTATATTACCTATATTCAAAATAGGAGTTTAAAATATTGACCATTATAACGGAGGAATATCACTCCAAAACAGAATATTGTAAATATTTACCGGGATCGCCGCAGACTAATAATATGTAGCAAGAAAATCAAGATACTTCACTCACGATTCTGTTCGGAATAACAACTGATTTATTCTGTTCAGAATAATAGTTATGAGTTTTAAAGCAAACAGCCTGTTTATGTATTTCTTTATAGATGTTAAAGCGGGATTTGATAAAATAGACCAGCAATCACTTTTTTTATATATTAAATAATCCATCTCCATTCTCCATCTCCAGAACCTTATAGTTTGGACAAAAGATGGACTTCCACCATCATACAATGCAGAGATAGGCCTAAGGAAAAGATAGGCCACTCCTTTTCTACATTTTTATTAACGATTTAGTGAAATATGTT